GGTATCACATGTTATGTCTCTGATGTTGAAAAATGCGTCAAGTGGCTAGTCCAGAACTTGCAAGTGTACAAATAAAGCCGCTTTCTTGTCACTTTTATGCTCAAAAGTAATTTATGGTGTATTCAAAGGATTTATCCAAAGCGCATTGAGCAGCAAAGAACATAAAAATTAATTAGAGTCTCTTACGGAAATGTTCATAGAAATGGAGTACTCGTGTGGAAGGTTTTATGTCGGCAAAACGGGACTTGGGGTTTCAACACGTATTGGCCAACATCAGAGACATACTTTTGAGGGAAAATGGAAAAATTCGGCCGGGAAATTCAAAAAATTGTCATGGCTACAATAAAAACAACACATTTAAAGTAGAAGCAGATTGTTTTAGGAGAAAAGGAGAGAGTCTTTTAAAATACAATATCGCCAATGTTCTCCCAATGAAGGTGGTTTGAATGAAGATGACGATGATTACGTCACATCGTTGTTTTGGAACTTTATTTTTCTTATTTAAGACGCAAGAACAAATTACGTTTAAGTTTTATTATTTGTTTGTTTTTTTACGGGTTTTTTTATTACTTGAATAACGACGTTATATATAATCCCAATAAATATTGTATTATATTAAAAAGATTTTTAAAATGATAAGTTTATATAAACAGATATTTTAACTAAGTTTAGTTAAATAAAAATTTATATAAGATATTAACTTTTTAAAAAGGCAAGAAAAAGTTTTACAAAGTCCGGGAAGTCAAACAAGAAATTTTTATATTTCTCGCTCACATATTTTTCCATCTACTGGAACAAATATGTTCCTGCGGCTTTTCTTTAATTTTAGAAAAAGAATAAAATATTATTGTGTAACTTTAGGGGATTTATATTCATTGCTTAGTTGTTTAAAAAAACTAAGTACAGCTTAACCCAATGTTTTAATGATCATAATTGTGGTTATTTTATTTTAAACTTTAAAATTTTTCAGTTTATTTTTTTAAATGCGCTTAAGCATTTCAGTCATAAAAAATGTGTAAATCAGGTATTTCTTATCATAATTATTAGAGATGTCTAGGGTACCCAGCTCAGTCTTAATTCTACGGCAATTTTTTCCAGGTCTATGCTAAGCACCCGGTCCATCAATATTCTTAAGCACCTGGGAAAACCGCCGTAATAATCCTAGCCGGGTATCTAGTAGACACTAGATATTCGGTGCCGTGTTAGTCGATACCGAGAAGAATGGTCTTGTATCATGAAAGTTAGATTTAGCTCCATAATAAATTGACAAAAAAGATAGACACATAAATTTATTTAAAAATTTGTTTAATTTTAGATTGTTTTCAACAAATATATCTTGTGTTAATTGCAACCCTTAAATAAATAACAAAATTGACAAACAAGTCTACGCGTAAAATGGTAGGCCAAAAACAAACGCTAAAAAAAAAATTCTGCACTAATCAAAATTCAACAATCTGCATCTTTATCAAGCAAATTCAATATGGCCTAAGGTACAAGGAAACTATATAGCCTTAGGTACAAGAAATGATTGCCTCATGAAAAATGTCATCTATTAGCAAACTCCAATTGAGAAAAATTTATTGAACATTGTATATAGTACTTAAGTAACAAACAATATAATAAACAAGAACTTATAGAAAAGCATTTCTTTTTGGACTGTAAAACAATCAAAGATACCAGAGGCAATGATTTGCGAACGGTCGTTTGCAAATTACGTCACGCTTTTAGAGGAGGGGTCATAGATTTTATGACAAGCTGTGACATGAGGGGGGGGGGGGGAGTTTGAAAGGGAGAATAAAAGCAATTTCTCGAACAAAAAAAAAGGAAAAATAAAACAAAGAAAATTTTGTATGTACTCTTCTATTTTTTGATTTGCATAGTTTATTTCTTTGTTTAGTTGCGTTTTTGGTTGTCCTCGTCCATTGTGTATGTGTTTGAGTTGTTTGTCTGTTTATTATTTTTCTGGTTTACTTTGCTCATTATATACACTATTTTAATATATGTACCTTTTTAATGACATGTAGTTAGTCATTTTAACAGAAATAGTTTAAGTCATTTAAATAGTGTATATATATATATATATATATATATATATATATATATATATATATATATATATATATATATATATATATATATATATATATATATATATATATATATATATACAGGAGCGGCGCCTGTAGGTGTCAAGTGGGGGGAGGGGGTGCCCTAAGGTTGTTAGCCAACTTAAAAAAAAAACGGAGATCTGAGAATTATCCGAATGAGAACGGATAAAGGCCCCATTTTGTTGACTAAATCTTTCTCAAGCAAATAGTTTCTCAAGCAAAAAGTTTCACCCTTCAAATATCTCAAGTTTTAAGTATTGTGTCATCACATTTTCAACACACTTTCCGACCAAAACAAGACGTTTACCAAAAAGCTATCAATTGTGGAGTCAGAACTTGAGAAAAATGCGGGATGCTCTCTCAATGTGATAACTCAAAAATGAAAGATTTGGAAAAAGAAAAAATAAGTATTAAAAAAGAATTAATATCACTTGAGGATAGTCGTAAACGACAGAAAGAATCCCAAGAAAGGAAGAAAAAAGTATTTTCTGAGAAAATACTTTTTTCCTTAAAAGAATATCCCGAGATTGCCTCCAAATTTATAATTCATGAAAAGGTTGGACGCCCTTCTGTTATTGAAAATCAACCGGAATTACTATCAATAATTATTCAGATTGGCAGTCACGGTGCTGCTGCAACTGACAAACGAAGATACAAGACTTTAAGAACATGATGATGTTAAGAACATGATGAGTTAACAGAAGCTTTGCAAAATGAAGGGTTTAAAATTGACAGATCAACAGTCTATTATCATCTTGCACCAAAAAAATCTCACACAATAGAAGGGAAGAAGCATATCACTACTGTTCGTGTAAGATTCATTAAACCAGGAAGAGATCTTCATAAAGATCATCCGGATACGAAACTTTGTTTTGCTTCCATTGAGAATTTAAAGGGAATTGGCTTCATTTTTGGGACCAGCAGAAGTTGCTTTAGTGAGCTAAGATGACAAAGCAAAAGTGACAATTAGTCTCCCAGCAGCTACTTTACAAGCTCCCTTGATTATGCATATGAAATATAAAGTAAGATTACCTGATAACAATTTTTGTCATTACTCCATGCCATAAACTTATTCCATAAGTCTATACTGGGCTAAAAATTGAAAAAGTTGGATTCGGCAAAAAAGAATTTTTGAGCTGCTTGGGTCGTACCTATATTTCAATAAGATCAACAAAACATTTGAAGTCCACTGCTTATTCTCACGCAAGAGATTTTGAAAATTTATATAAACTACCGCTATTTCGAGACATTATGTTGGATTTGAATGGTAATACAAAGCCAATTGTTATAATGTTTACTGATGGAGGACCAGATGAAAGCCCCAGATATCAAAAAACAATTAGAATAGCGAACTCACAACATCACATTTTTTTTGGATTCTTTAATAATTGCCACAAATGTACCACACAGAAGTGCATTCAATCCATTTGAATGAAGAATGGCTTTCACTTTCACTCTCACGCGAACTTTCAGGACTAATTTTGCCTCACGAAACTTATGGATCACATTTGGACTCTTCTGGAAAGACAACTAACTTAAAGTTAGAAAGGGAAAGTTTAAAATATGCTGGCGAAACATTAGCTGAAGTCTTCTCCAACGTAGTGATCGAAAAATTTGAAAATTACTCAGAATTTATTGACACGCTCAACTCAGAAATCAATACCGAAGCAGTAATTATAAAAAGTCAAGAACGGATTGCTGTTCATTAAGATCTAGTCAATATATGTTGCAGATTTTAAAATGTTCTGACATCAAATGCTGTACTTAGCCACGCGAAAAATATTTTCAAATTTTGAAAGAAAGATTTCTTCCACCTCTCATTTCTCTCTCTTTTTGAGTCACAGTTTTCAGCTGACAAGATTTATCGCTATACATCTCTTTTCCAATCCCTACATCTTGTTCAAAAAAATATTCCGTTTGACCAACACTGTCCAAGTATCAAAACAATCCTTCAAAGTAGAGTGTGCAAAAATTTCAACATTTACTTTGCATCACTAACTTTGCTTAATAATCATAAAATAGTTTATCTGAAAGAGAATAAAGTAAAAAAACCAAAAGCCAAGATAAAGAAGATTATTCTAAAGGAAGAAAATGCACAACTTGCTTTCTTAGAAGGTGATAGAGGCTTTAAAGCAAAAGAAATGGTAGAGAAAAATATTTTACAAGGAGAAGAATCAAACTTTATTGATTTTTTTTACAGAAGCGCTAGGTTGTGAACAAGAACAGTCAATTCCAATTTTTTTTATTGCAGAACATCTTGACCCTGTTTGGGAAAATATTAAGTAGTAATAAAAATTTTAACTGAAGAATACTTTTTGTTTAAAATAAAAAAAATAAATAAATAAATAAAAAAAAAAAGATTAAAATTTTAGTGTGACGTGACAATGGAGGGAGGGGGGGGGGTTAATATTTTCTGATACTTTGTGACAGGGGGGGGGGTCTAAAAAAGTTGTCTTTTTGTGTGACATAATTTTCGAATGACCCCTTAGACCATCAAAAAGCGTTTTATGATTTTAACTTTTTGTTGCAACACTCTCTGAAAATAAAAATAGCATTAAAAATAAATATATTTATAACTAATTCACCTCAATGATTTATAACTCATTCACCTCAAACTAATTCACCTCAATAACTAAATCACCTCAATGAGAAATGGCTCTAGATGCAAAGACTATTCGGTCTACATAAGTAGACCAAATTTACAATTTTATGTCAGTACTTAAATAGAATTGTTTTATATATTACTTAAATAACGAGGGTATATATAACCCCTAAAAATATTGTATTATATTATAAAGAATTTTAAAAGGATAAGTTTATATACTATAATCAGTAATTTAAATTTAAAAGAACTGTAAATTCGCAGAATTAGATTTGTGCTAAATTTGCCGAACATGCTTTACCGGAAAAAAACAATACCACGAGCTCTGTCATATCATGGCTGATTTTTTATCAATAAAAACATTAGAATCAGATGATGATGAAAGTTTAATTCTCGAAGAGAGCGATGTTGACGAAGAAATTTCGAAATCGTCAAAAAAGGTTAACTATTTAAAAAGTATTACTATCTAGATTCTCTGAAATATGATTTATAAGAAATTGTTTGAAGTTTAATATTAAGCACTATAGTACCGTGAACGGGGGTGACTATGAACGCTTTTTGTTTGCCTAATCGCTGCCAATCTTTTTGTAACAGGACATTCTACCTTTCAGTTTTCTTTAAAAGTTGTAAACCTGATCAACACTATGAAATAAATACCTTAGTTTTCTGGTTTTATATGAGTACATACTCATTTCCAAAACGGGGTGAGAATGAACAGCCGATTTGGGGTGACTTTGAACACTACATTGTTTTTATATGCTAGATTATGGCTAGACTACAACATTACTATTGGGTGGGCGGTGGGGGGGGGTGCTGTTCAAAATCAAAAAGATAACAGGAGCTTTATTTTATATAGAACATTTTTTTTATTTTAATTAAGTTCATGCGAAAATATTAACACAAGTTTAAAACCTAGTTTTTCAATATATTTACATTTATCACAATATTTACAAATCGTTCCTACATAAAACAGAACATCAACTATCACTATTCTCCAATTGCTCACACTTGTTGCATACAAAGTCAATATTTTCAATATCAAGCTCATAATAGTCATCTTTATCATAAATGAGGCCGCAACATTGGAGGTGATATGTTTTACTGCATTTATCGCATTGAATCCACACATCATCACTAAACTTTACCCGTTTTTTATTACATAAAGCACAGTACCAACCACTATCTGTGTTGTTGAGTTCTTTTGAACATGATTGCATCGACTCTTCTAAACAATCAATTCTTTTACCTGGTTCCACCTTTGGATCTTGTGGTTCGCGTTTTACAGGTGGATTTGCGTCTAACCCTAGCTTATTTTTTAGAATATCTAAAACAAATTCGTAAATAAACATTACTGTTTCTTTACCGCCAGGGTCTTTATATTTTCCTGGAAGACGTTTTAAAACTTCTGTTTTATTCATTGGGTAAGATCCTTGTTGCTCAAAATCTGCTTATCAAAGCTTCTGGCCGCAAAGTGTTATTCAGTTTATTCAAAAGCGTAGGTAGGTGTTCCTTTAGGATAACTCCTTTGACATGACTTTCTACTGTCCACTTCAAAAGAATACTCCTCCCGGACTGCTTTAGTCTTCTAAATACAGCAACATCTAGTGGTTGGCAGAGATAAATTGCATTTGGGGGCATTGCTACAAACTTGATATTATGTTGAATTGTACCTTCAATAACTTCACGAAAAATATGTTTTTCACTTTAATAATAGCTGTTTCTAGGTCTTCTATGGTATGTTTCTAGGTCTTTTATGATATAGCTTGTTTTATATCCTCAACTGTTTTCTTCAGATACCGGCAAGCTATACCTTAAATTATTGCTTTATTAAAACATTACATACCTGAATGTGATGCGAGTTTTGATGACTTTGATGACGTTTAGATGAGCGGTTCTTGAGATATTCCTCAATAAGTGAGTTAGTTGCCTGAACCAAGAAACGTGCACTGTTTATATGCACTCTCGAGTGCCGAATACAACAAGGGGTGGGAATAAACAGGTGGGTGGGAATTTTTGTCAAAATCTAATAAATGGGGGGGTTTTAATATACAGGGGGGGAAGAGAATTTTTCTGAAATTTAATAAAGAGGAGGAGGCATGTTCAAACGCCCCCCCCCACCCCTCCCTGTTTATTCGGCATGCAAATTATGCATGTTCTCAAGTCAAATGCGCATTTGACTTGCTGTCAAATACATTTCAAGCACATTTTATAACAGCTGTTAGGGTAGCATTAGGCTACCCTAACAGCTGTTATAAAATTAGAAGTTTTATACTTAGCAAAGTATAAAACTTATATTCAACATATTAAGTCCTATAATTAAAACCAAAGCTTTGTTGAGAAATAAACTAAAAGTTAATTTTGAGATATATAATTTTTTTGTTGATAACAAGTAAAAATTAATAAACAGGGGGGTCTTAATAAGCTTAGGGTGGATGGGAAAAATATCCAAAAGTTTATAAATTTGGGGTGGGGGACGTTTATTAAATTATCAGAAAAAAAATTATTCTCACAATATTTAAGGCAAGTGAGTAAAAAAATTATAATTTTTGAGTATATTTCATGTGCTGCATCACTATTTAGTAAAACTAGTTTAGGTGTTCATTTTCACCCTGCTGTTCATAGTTACCCCTGTTCATGGTACCTGGCGACCAAGAAAACCTAATATGCTTAAACAGCTGTTGAAATAGAGGAGTTAAAAATACACCAGGAAGAAATTTCAAAATAAAAATTTGTGTCAGTTAGGTCCATCATACCCTCCTCCATTATATCCATATCTGATAACTGTTTTATTCAACAAATAGTTTTAAGTAAACTCATCAGCCATTAGAACATTTGTAACTTGAGTAATCATATGCTTAAATAAATGCTGTTAAGAAGTTGGTAATATGTCAATTACCAGAGTCTCTGAATTTTCTTGGATGGCAAACATTGACCAACAAATTTTTTGTAAATCTGTGTATTCTTGTACTGCTCGCTGTCTTCAACATACTTTAGGTACCAATCATTAAGACTTTGAAATTTTCTTAACTGACTGGTGGATTCCTCTTTCGTTCCTTCACAACAGCAACAGGTAAATTTTCTGCCATGTCCCTAACAATAAAAATTCAATATTATTTTTAATGAATTTTATTTAAATTTAAAATGCTAATGCATAAATTAATTTTTTTGTTTTTCTAATAAAATAAATAACTAAAAGACCCAACATACTGTTGATTAACTTGAGATCTGCTGCCACATTTATGTGGCATTTATTGGTTGACCAACAAAATGGATATCCCTATATATATATATATATATATATATATATATATATATATATATATATATATATATATATATATATATATATATATATATATATATATATATATATATATATATATGTATATATATATATATATATATATATATATATATATATATATATATATATATATATATATATATATATATATATATATATATATATAAAATATGTAAACTGATTTTAATAAAAAGGCAGCATATAACTATTTTTAAATATATTTTGATGTAAAAATATATATTAACAATATTTGGCTGAGCTATTACCTGATGACGCTGTGGTCAGCGTCATCAGGTAATAAAAATATGTAAACTGATTTTAATAAAAAGATATATTCCAAACTTATGTTCTAGATAAAGAAAAAGATTTTCAATTTAGTCTTGATAATAGTGTTGTGCAACAGCCATGGAAAATTAGTAGAAACGACACTGACCACAATAGGTCAGCGAAATATCATTAATATATTTTTATATCAAAATATATTTAAAAATAGTTATATGCTGCCTTTTTATTAAAATCAGTTTACATATTTTATATATATATATATATATATATATATATATATATATATATATATTTATATACATATATATATATATATATATATATATATGTATATATATATATATATATATATATATATATATATATATATATATATATATATATATATATATATATATCGTAAAACAAGAAATGATTTTTAAAGATATGTATATATATATATATATATATATATATATATATATATATATATATATATGTATATATGTAATTGAGATACAAAGTCTCTTGTGTATATGTGTGTGTGTGTGTATATATATATATATATATATATATATATATATATATATATATATATATATATATATATATATATATATATATATATATATATATAGGCTTGGTCGGGAAGCGGGTGCGATCGCACTCGATAATTGACCACGGAAATATTATTTAGTTGCAAAAAACCGGCCAGATTTTTAAGTCGTTTTGAGAAAATTTCAAAAACAAACAAAAAAGCGCAGTAAGATTAACTGGACCGATGAGAGACAGTTAAAAAAAGAAAAATAGCTTTTAACGCGAAAAAACTTTAAGCAAAATAAATGTGTTAGAGCAATTATTTTTGAATCGTCGCTCTTTTATAACTTTTTAAATAAAATTAAGCAACTTTTTTATATAAAGTAACAACAATAAAGAAACAAATATTCTTCGATTTATCAAAGAGTATATATAATTTTTATTTACATACTTATGCCTTATTTCCAATTTTTATTTATATACTTATGCCTTATTTCCAATTTTTATTTATATACTTATGTCTTATTTCGTATTTATATTCTTATGTCTTATTTCTTAGTAAGATGAACAAATAAAATAATTAAATCATTGAGTTATTGTAGAAATTCAATCAGCTAGATAGAAATTTAAAAAAACGTTAAATTGCATTGTGAGGAGAAAGCGGAACTGCTTCACAATACTGCTGATGATGTTTTAGTAAGTCGGCTTTATAATTTTAATTAGTATTTAAAACAGAAAAAAGTAACTCTAAGTATAACGAGTTTGTAAGAATGGCTGAAGCAAAAATAATAGAAGTTAGTAAACCAATTTCTAAGAACTTAAAAACTTTTCTTTCTTAGGAGAAATAATCAGTTATCGGGTACACTGAGGAAAATGGATTAGTGGTTAAAATTATTTGTATTAACTTTGACGATTATTAATAATTTCATTAAAAATACAGTTATTTTGGAAAGTATTTTTGTTTACAAAATCAATCACACATATTGCTTTAAAAGATTACATTTGAATAAAATACACATACATAAAATTACATACATAAAAAATACATACATAAAAATACATTACATACATAAAAATACTTTATATACATAAAAATACATTACATACATAAAAAATACATCCCTTGAATATAAAAAATTAGAATAAACTAATAAAATCTATAATATATTTACAAAACATTGACAAGTTGAAAAATATAAATTAAAAGCATTTATTATTGTAAACAAATATTGTTAGTTTAAAACATTTATAGCTTTGTAGATGGGGGTCCAAAAATTAAAATAATAGTTCGTTTGATTGTATATTCTTAAAATAATTTATGCTAGAAATCTCAACAAAAATGTAACAAAACCCAAATAATACCATTTTTTTAAATATTTCAACAGAATAATCAGGACATGCGGTTAGTATTATTTTGAATACTCCAGAAATTTCGGTTAGTATTTTTTGAACCAATAGAATTAGTTGTTTGTAGATTTGGCGGGTTTTTTGTGTTTACGAATATTCTTTTTTTATTTTTCCGTACTAAGATGTTTGAGAACATTCAATTTTATGTATGTTTTCATGTAAATCTGTAAAACAAAATATTTTAAAATTTACGATAAAATGATTATTATTTTGCGGAAAAACATAGAAACATACAAAAACTTAAATGACTAAAAAATCTGGCCGGTTTTTTGCAACTAAATATTATTTCCGTGGTCAGTTATCGAGTGCAATCGCACCCGCTTCCTGACCAAGCCTATATATATATATATATATATATATATATATATATATATATATATATATATATATATATATATATATATATATATATATATATATATATATATATATAAATTTTTCAAACTTATGTTCTAGATAAAGAAAAAGAAAAGTCTAAAAGAAGACTTTGCATCTGATTTTCAATTTAATCTTGATAATAGTGTTGTGCAACAGCCATGGAAAATTAGTAAAACCATAAAAAAAAGTGCTAAAGGACAAGTAAGTATCTATACAAGTAAATTTCTCATATTCCAGATGAATGATTAAAGTTAGCATTTTAAAAATGAGTGTTGATCTGAATGTTTTAGTACAGTGTGAGTTTTAATTTACAGTGATAAGTGTGTATGTGTGTGTGTGTGTGTGAGAGAGATAGGTAACTAATAAGTTTTTTTTCAAAATACGGATCTTTACACTTTTTCAGAAGGAAAAAAAAAAAAAATAGAGGATATTAAATATCCTTTATACGGTACTGTCTATTTAATTCTTAGTCAGCACGAAAGTATACACTTTTTTTAAAATAGATGTTTCCAACTGTTTGTGGATATTTCTATATTTTTATTTATTCGCTTTGGAACATATTCTATTTGTTTTTATTCAATACATGTTGTAAGAGTGTTTTTATTTTTACTAATGTAAAACTACCAAGTGCATTTCAAAGGGCAAATCTAGACAATTGCCTAGGGGCACCAACAAAAAAAGGAGCACTTGGTTTTTTAATTTTTTTGAAAAATTGTAGTTTTTAGTTTAGATTATTAATATGCCTAAGGGCGCCGTAAATTTAACAATTTCACAAATGCCCTGAAAACCACTACATTTTCATTTGACTTTGTTGACAACAGGAATAAAATTAGCAAATTATTTTAAATTTTTTTCATAAAATGTTTTCTAAACTTGTTGGTCTGATAAAAGTTTTTTTAATATTATAAGGTTTAAGTTTTTTTTAAGTTTTGGTTCTAATCTAGGAAGCCATAAGAGTATTGTACTATGTTTCTTTTTTATTTATATTTATATTGGAAAGTTTGTATTTTATTTAAAGATAGGCAGTTATTTCGAGTTTAGATTTATATTATTTTATTTTTAATATTTATTTTTATATCTGAAACAAACATGTTGATTAAGAACTGTATCTTAATATAAAAATATTTTGCAGAGTAAATATTAGTAATGTAGTGATTGTCATATCAGTTAACCAATTACATATATCATATGTCATATATCATACCAATTTTTAGTATGTTCAAAAGTATAAAAGCTAAAAATACATAAGTATATATATTTTTTTTAAAAATAGAAAGCATACCTATACTTTTAAGTGTTGTAAATATGCTTTAGCTACTACGACTATTTATGACAATTTTTGGGTTTGCATTTGGTAGTGGCCAAGTTCAATTAATTTGTGTTTTTGATTAATAAATGTTTGTTTGGTTTATTTTTTAATGTTGTTTAAAATTTGAGCTTTGGAAATTGCAATAGTTAAAATGGAAGAATATAATACATGTCTTATAAATATATAAATTATATTCAAGTTGTATATAACTTAAAAACACATTCTGCTACTTTTCAACTGTGGCAATAGCCTAAAGATATTCACAAATAGTTGAGTTTCCTTAGTTTAAAAAATAATAAGTTGATTTAGTAGAGTGAAACAGGGTAAAATGAAATAGCGGGTAGAATGAAATAGTTATGACAATGTTTATTCTTTCGCTATTAATTAGTTATTAAATAATCGTTTTGCAAATATTTTTCGATAATGTTGTAGATAATACTTTTTTGAGTTAGATGATGTCAAATTTTATTTTTAATAAAAAAAATATTGTTACAAATTGTTTTGAAAAATGAACTTAAATCTCTTGGAAATTAAGTTTGATATCATTGAACCTAAAAGGTTTTATGGTACAACTTTTTACGCTGATCAAGAATCTTTTTTCAAAATTAAATTTGCTATTTAGGAAAAAAAGTTATGAGTAAAAAATGGAAAAGGAGAATTGTGGGATTAAATGAAATACACTAATAATAAGTGAAGCAATTCTTAAATGTGGCTTTTTTTTTAATTAATTCTCAAGTGACCAATAAATCTCCAGCTCAAGTGACCAAGCAATCTCTATAAACTTTGTGCATAAATTTCAAACCGATTATTATTAAATCTATTTTAATATAAAACATGCCTCGAAACAACTTGCATGCATAGAAAAAAGAAAAACTATACATCGATTTGAAACACCGTTTGAAACACCAACATCTGAACCTGAGCCTTCATCATCTCAACAACCAGAATCTATATTAGTAACATCAGCAATGCTAGCACCAGGAACTGCACTACCTCAGCCACTGCCCTCTGAATTTACACCAACAACATCTAGCATCAGCATATGTCACATAGCATCAGCTCCAAAGTCACCTCAAAAGTCTGCAAACAACCTTCAATATTGTAGTAACTCCAGCTATTCGAAAAGAAATTCAAAAAGAGGTTGAAAAACAACTGCAATCAGCCCAATCCTTTGCAGCAACTTTGCAACAAATGTTTCGTATTCAACACATTGACACACAAAAAAGAAAAAATGTAGATGTGCCAAGATTCGAAGGGGAGTGTCTCAACAAACTTGAAATACTTGAAAAGTTGAAAGATGCTGAGAGCAAAAAAGCAGCAAAGCAACCTAAAAAACAACGTAACGTTAGCTTTAATGGGGATCAGCAAATAAACCAAGCAACAAGTCCAGCCAAAATATTAGCTGCAAACCAATTCAAGTGTAAAAAGTGTCGATTATAAATTATTAAAAAATTACTTATCTCATAATTTATCTCTTATTCTGGGATTATAAATTATTAAAAAATTACTTATCTCATAATTTTTATTTTTCACTGAATGTTTATTTTTTTGGTTATCAGAAATATAGTGTTTTTTTTTTTTACTAATTTATGACTGCTCTTTTCTTTAATGAAATTGCATTTAAAAAATCACCTATTTTCAGAATTTGTTTTCACTAGCAATTTTGTTAAAATTTTATGCAATTTAAATTTTAGAGGGACTGCATTAGTTACATTAGTTTTAGCAAAAATACCTCAACTGCAAAAAACAATATACTCTTAATATATTCTAAAAAGCTTTGAGCATTTTCATAACTTTTAAAGATACAAAAGATATCTTCTGTATAAAACCAAATTTGTAGTTGTATGTTTTCATAATAACTTAAAAATTAGTTGGCACCCCATCAGTTTAATGAAAAATTTCATTATTAAATAAAAAGTGTGTTTAGTGGATAATTAAAAAAATAATTTTAATTCAGTTTTGAAAATTTTCATGTTAAGAATTTTTTTTACTATAAGATGGGCAGCAATGGAGATTTTTTCATCTAAAGGAATGTAAATAATTTTTCATCAAATGAAATTAAGTAAATGTTAGATAATCTTACCTTGGATTTGAAAGTTTTGTCAATTAAATTTGTCAAATTAAGAAGAAAATATTTATTTTAATTTTTTATATTTTTTAAATGTCTTGATGTAAACTTACCCAATAGCTAAACACCTGAACAACAAAGTTTTTAATAATCTTTTTTAACGAATTGAGCAATTAGTTGTGTATGGCTTTTTTATTAATTTTTTTTTGTGGTCTTGTGGTTTGTTTTTTCTTTAGTAGTCTTAGAATGTTGGAATGTTATCCACAAAGTTAAATGCATTTTTATTAGTCTTAAAATACAAAAGATATCAAAAAAAATTATGTATTATATTATTATACATATTATTATCATGAAGAGATATATATTGAAAATGTCTGCTTTATAATGTGGAACCATTTATGGTAAAGCTATTCATATTTATAATATGGTAATAACCCAGTTGAATTAGTCAAAACATTATTAAGGGTGGTGGCTAATTTTTTATATGGGGCCACAAAGGTGTTAATAAAAATGATACCAATAAAAAAATTAACTAATCAAATAATTAAATTATTCAGTATAAATGTAAAAGCTATTATATGTAATTGGAATTGTGTCAATCAAACCTTTTTTAAAGTGTTTCCTATTTTATTCTGGGAAAGCTATGGTTTACAGTAGATAAAAAGTATTTATTGTATGATTTTGTACAACTTGTAAAAATATTTATAACCTATAGCTCAATGAAAAAAGTTAAAAATTAATTTTAATGATAACAGAGTGACCAGAATTGCAAAATGGACTTAATTAAAGCAACTATATGATTATCTTGTAATATTTTTCATAAAATATTAAATAAACTTAATAATGCAGTAAATCTTTGTTTATCATTGTCATGTTGCTAATTATCATCTTTAATTTTATTTTTATTGTAAAATAGCTTTGCCTCAATTGGTTACTTTGTCAGGGAAAAAAATAAAGTTTAATTCACAACGTTGTGTCTTAATTATTTTTTTAAACTTATATAACTTAACAACTAAGAAAGAAAAAAATTTATTCAAGCACATACTTAAAGCTGAAGAAAAACATTAAAATCGAAAAGATGTGGGAAGGTAGACTTAGAGTTGCAAAAAAAACTGTTTTTTTTTTAATTGTGTTTTTTTTGCAAAAAAAACATGTTTTTTTTGTGTTTTTTGTGTTTTTTGTGTTTTTTATGGTTTTTTTTGTTTTTTAGATTAAAAAAAATCTATTGTAAAGTCAAATCCGTATTGCATCCACAACTATTCACAACTCAGAAAAATAAAATTGCATCCGTATCCGGATGCAATTTTATTTTTCTGAGTTTTGAATGGAACTCTTGTTGAAGAGTACAATTGTTTTAAGGGAGGCTTATCTGATTTGGTTTTATTTGCCTTACAGTCTCCAAACTTAGGGGTTGTAGACCTACTTTGGTTTCCAAAACAGCTTGGTGTTGGAAAGAAAGACTCAATTGGAACTTGTGGAATAGCAGATGATAAACATATTTTTTTCTCTTTTTTCATATCTTGAATAGGTAAGTTTTCAGGAATATCTTCTTCCATCATTAGTTCAGTTTGAACTTTCTTCTGTTTAAAAGGCATATCGTTCAAATATTTGTTTTTTATTTGATCGCCACATTTCATACATTTTGCAATGTGCTCAGTCATTCGAGTGCCATTTTTTGATAGCTTTAAGCTGCAAAATTTGCATATAACTTGTTGAATTTTAGAACCTCCAGATTCTAAAGGTGCCTCATTGAACAATGTATCTACAAAACATTTCTTTCTGCCTGGCATATTTTTTTTTAGATTTCTTTTTTTTTTTTATAATTAAAAATAATTAATAGATTACAAATTGTTTAATATAAATGTTTTTTCATTAGACAAAGTTAATCATTGTGTTATTTTTATTTACTTGAATATTGTTTGAATAAATAAAATTTTAGCTATCTAATTGCAATTTAAAATAAAATAAAGAAATTAAATATTAAAAATTTAAAAAAGTAATATACAAAAGTAAATAAAACATTAAAGTAAATTTTATTTAACAGCTGGTTCAATTTTGTATTTTGCAATGCAGTGTTATTTCATTCATTTTTATGAATGAAATAACACTGCTAAAATAACATTTTTATTTCCTTCATTCAGTAGTATTATACTTACAATCAACTAGTAGCTAATAGTATAGTTTTTTTGAGATTTATTTAAAAAATTGCTTTTTTAAATATTTAATACTGTTTTTTTTTAATATTGGTGATTAGTTTGTAACAGCTATTATATAAGTTAATATGCATTTTATTAAATAGAAAACATTTGTATTTTGTAGGTTTAAGGGCACTGGAACTGTTTCAAGTATTATTATTATCTAAAATTTAATGAATACTAAAAAAAAGCAAAAAAAACTATAAAAAACATGTTTTTAGAACCAGTCTGTTTTTTTTGCAAAAAAAACGTGTTTTTTTTAAAAAAAACACACCGTTTTTTTTGGGGTTGCAACTCTAGGTAGACTACAGAGAAGTTTACCCTGGAAAACAATTTTGGTCTTTTAATTCCTACTCTTTCTACACTTCTCAAGTAATTAAGTAGTCTGATAAAACTTTGATATTTTTAAACTTTTTATTTGTTGTATATTGTTTTTTTTTTTATTTTTATTTTATTTTATTGCTACAAAATCTGTTGAACAGGTTGCAGGATGTTATCAATAATTTTTATTACAAGGATTTAGATTTAATACTAAATTTAGTAATATGGCACATAAAATGGTAGATCCACAGTATACCATTTTATATATACATATTGCAATATTTTCAGAAAGCTGTTTAATATGTTTACACATTAAACAGCTTTCTAAAATTATTTCAATTTGTATATATCAAACTTGTTATGGCCTAATAAGTTACTATATAGATTAAAAAAGTAATTGATAAGCTTAATCAATTTCTACATTTCTGAGAAGGATTATTTGTTAAGTTTATCTGCTTTTCTAAAAAATAATGTATGAGAAAATCAGCTGTTTATTTTCAGATATCCAATGGATTGCATGTATTATTTAATGTGATCCACTGCAGTCAGAACAAATAAAATAAATGACAAAAGGATTTATAACAAATCTATATATACCTGACAAAATTAAGGACTTATTAAACTGGATATAGTAATAGATTTATGGATGACTTGCAGTTAGGCATGTTTATAATTACTGATTCTATCTTTTGAAGAATTGAATATTCTTGTTGTTCAAATATAGATTAAATACTGCCAGTTGTCATTTTAAATCATTGTTAGCCCGGAAAAAAATTAATGCAGCATTTTTGCAATATTGGAAATATAGGTGTGGCTTTAAATAAAAAAAAGGTCATTTTATTCTGACATTAAAAAAAAAAATTAAGAAAAGGCATTTCATAGCTTACACGGTTTTCTAACTCAATTTATACAAGCAAATTAAAGTTCTACCTAAGTAGATACATTAGACATTTTTTAGATATATAAATATAAATGATTTTTTATTTGCTGGGTTATAATCATAGCAAGAATATTTTTAAATTTTATAAATGTTTAATTATAATTATTCAACTTGTTTCATTCTGAGCAATCTTCTTAAGTTTTTATCTTTAAATTGCTTCTCTTATTCGTGTGATAACAAAATTGCTTCTCTTCTTCTTGTGATAACAAAATTGCTTCTCTTCTTCGTGTGATAACAAAATTGCTTCTCTTCTTCGTGTGATATAAAAATTGCTTCTCTTCTTCGTGTGATAACAAAAGAGAAAGAGAAAACAAGAGCAAAAGACAATTGTTTGCAATTTAAGTTTCAATCAATGATTTATCATATTCATTTATTGAGACTTTGATCTATTTTAATTGTGTATGTTGCTTTAAATATAGTTTTAAAAGATTTAAACGATTATTTACATATATTGTCTTTTTTTATTTTTTTTGTAAAATATATACACCCCTGGGAAATGTATTTTTTTTAAATAAATTAATTTATTTAAAAAAATTGCTAAATAGGAATAAATTTTAAACAAAACATTTTTGATGTTTTCCAAGATCCTCTTGTAACTTTTTAAATAGCTGAAACAATTTTTTAATAAGCAACTGACAATAAAAAAACATATATAGTATGGGAAGTTTTTGAGTATTTAATTTTGTTATACTTTATTATTTTAACAATTTAAATTTAAAAAATTTTTTTGAACTTTTTTATATAGATATTCATATTTTTGCATTATAATTTTTATCATTAAATAAATTTTTGTGTGTAAATTTTAAATAAATTTATAGTGATGAATAATTGCATTAAATATGACATTTAAGGCTTTAAAACCTCGTCAGCGATAAATAAAAATTTAAATCGGAAAGTTTTTTTACTAATAGTGATATTGCAAAGCCATTTTAATGTGGTCAAACAAAGAATGAATATGTGGCTAGATATGTACTTGCTCTGTATTTTTAAAGTGAGCTTTTATGAACACTTTCAACTGTTCCATATTACATTGTTTTGCTTGATGAATAATTTAATCAAATATTTTAAAAATGCTAAAAGTACCTTGTATTGAGGTTTTAGGATGAAAAATCTCTCATTCTGAGTTTACGGCACACTTTAGTGCTAAAGATGTTTTAAATACATTTCTTAGGGGTGTATTCAAAATTGACAAAGTAAAAATTTTACAAGTATTTTTGAATGGTCCCAATGTGAGGAAAAAATTCAATCCCCTTATTTATATAAAGACAGGATTTACACCTTTCATGCTTGAGGACTGGGTTAAAAGAGAGTGGTTGAAAAATAGATTATCTTTTGAAATGGGTGTGGCATTTTTTACAGGATTTGCCTACCAGGCAAGAAACATGTGAAAAGATTGCTGAAACACTTGATTATAAACTACATTTTGTGGACACAGGTGGTACAAAAATAAAAACTGCTCAAAAAGCTATATTCCTTCTTGCTGGTTACATAATGTTTGTAAAATATATTAGTCTTTAAAAAACTTGTCAGAGATTAAAAGCAATTGTACATGATTTTATTTTACTGGCAAAGTTGAAGTTATTTGAAATGGTATCAGAGAAATTTAATAGTACTTTAAAAGGGTTTCAAATATATAAACCATGGTACCATCTAAGGTATTTAACTATTTTAACATGGTACTTAAATGGCTATAGTATTTAACTATTTTAACATGGTACTTAAATGGCTATAGTATTTAACTATTTTAACATGGTACTTAAATATATATATATATATATATATATATATATATATATATATATATATATATATATATATATATATATATATATATATTACATGGTACTTATTTAACTGATTTAACATGGTACCATCTAACTGATTTAACATGGTACCATCTAACTGATTTAACATGGTACCATCTAACTGATTTAACATGGTACCATCTAACTGATTTAACATGGTACCATCTAACTGATTTAACATGGTACCATCTAACTATTATATATTTAACTATTTTTGGTGAGGACTTATTAGAATGATTATTTATAAAAATGACAAAATGTGATGTACATTATCAATGGCTTCAACTCAAATACAGACTGGAACATTCAAAAACCTCAAGCAGATATTGTTATAGGAGTTGCATCTTGTTTAAAACTCAACTAAGCTAATCTAACCTCTATTAATTTCATAACAGTTCTTTTTAAAAATAAAAATGGTGAGTTTTTAGCAGGCTTTTTTTTGAAAACTAAAAATATTGAAGTTTTCGCTTGTACGCTCTGCTATATCAATAAATCCAATCCAAAATAGCAAACAAAGTCAATACCTTAACAGTTTTTGTCGCTAAATTGTGCAAGCTGGCGAATGAACAATATTGAAAATGATTTGAAGTTGTTGACATCAATTTAAATGCATTTCAGAATTTTACTTTGAAAAAGATTCACTTCAATTTTTCTCTGACTTCATTGAGAAAAATAAAGCATATAAAGAGGTTTGGGAAGTGTTTAGGGTAGTCTTTGTGCTTTTTGAATTCATCAAATTGAAAATTCATCAATTGATGGCGGTCTTACCACTTAGCGTGTAGGGCAGAGTATGCAATTGTGGGTGTCAAAGCATTATAATTGGTATAGAGCAACATCCCAAAAATGGAATTTTGATTTTATTATTCGGTGGGAATGCTGAAATAATTTTTTCAGGTATAGAACAAATTTATTCAGGTCTTACCACTTAGCGTGTAGGGCAGAATATGCAATTGTGGGTGTCATACAGATAATATTTTTACATTTTCAATGTATTTTTAAACATTTTTAATGTAATTTAACTAATTTATGTTATGTTACACTTGTTGCAAATTTCTTTCTAACCTATTTTTAAACCAAGAAATACATAAACATATAATTGCTCTAGATAATATAATTGAGCAATTTAATAATTAAACTGTTATATAAGTATTAATTAATTTTAAATTTTTTCTTCAAGCTTAAAAGCAACTCAAAATATGTTTCTAACAAAAAATACAAGAAGTGTAAATACAATTTTTTAAAATTGCCTATCATGTTTATTAGGTATTTTAAAACTGATTTTGTTGCTGCATTAAACTCTAGTATAATTTTTAAAAATATTTACAGGTGCGTTAAACATTTGACCGATCTCTAATTTTTTTGCAAAAAATATTACGTTAAAAGTATTATAACCTTGGTCAAATGAAAAATATATCATTTATTTATATTAAATTTTTTTCTTTTTTTAAAATACTAAGTTTATATTATTCCTTATGTTATTTGTTTTATGTTATGTAAATATATATTTGTTTATTTTTGTGTTGATTTTAAGGATTCAGCAGATGTTATTGAAGATCAAATAAATAAAAAAGTTCAGGAACGTAAGGTAATGTTATTTAAAAAAATAAAATTTTGAATTTTGAAAATGTTGAAGAAATAAAATTATATAAAATGTTGAACAAATAAAACTATATTAAATGTTTAACAAATAAAATTATATCAAATGTTAAACAAATAATGTAAAAGCAAAATAAAACAAATAAATTTTGTTTGCCATTTTTACCACGGCTGTCAACATGCTTTAATAATTTTAGCATTTCAAAAGTGTGCTGAAAAAATTATTTTAAATTATCTTAGAAATAAATATCATTTTTAACATAGTAGGAAATATTGAATTATATTATTTATTAAATATTATTAAATGAAATGAAATTATATGAAATAATATTATATGAAAATTAGCAACAAATTACTACTAATATATTACTACTAATGATTGGCAATAATAATAATAACACATTTTATTTAAGTTATCAAAAAGTATTTAATGTTTATGTTATGTTTTTACTTTTATTTAACTTATTTCTCTGCGCAAGAATGTTTTATTTTATGATAAATCTTCTAAAACAATTTTTATGATTAATTTTATAAGTAACAACAACTTTAATTTAAACATTAATTAAATTTTATAAACTTAAACAACGATTGTATCTTTAGTGAATTTTTTAGAACACAATTTTTGAATGCAAAGAACTGTAAATAGCTTTATTTATTAAATTTGTTATAATTATAAACTAGTGTGTATTCTGTATATATTTATAAACTATTTATGTTCTAGAAGCATAGTAGTGAAAAACCAGTCTCAAATCTACCACCACCTCGCCTACACACATATTAGCGTTGCCACATTTGAGAATATTGGTGTGATTATTTATCATAGTATTGACTTAACCATACCACATATTAAGTTTTACATTCTCCTTCCACCCACTCACTTTTTCTTTTTTTTTTATATAAGATATTATATATATGTATATATATATATATATATATATATATATATATATATATATATATATATATATATATATATATATATATATATATATATATATATATATATATATATATATATATATATATATATAGTATATATATATATATATATATATATATATATATATATATATATATATATATATATATATATATATATATATATATATATATATATAATATATCAGATATATAATATATCAGATATAAATTATTAGAAAATTAAACTATTTATAATGAAAGTATTTTTATTTTCTCGGATGTTCTGAACAGATATTTTGATCAAAACAATCTGAAAAATACTGAAAGATTTCAAAATAGATTATTAAATGCGGTTGTGGTGTAGTGGTAAAAAACTCCCTTCATAAGCAAGAGGTTTCGAGTTCAATCCCCACCACGTCCCTGGTAGTACCGCGCTCAACTTGTTTCTCCACGCAGCCGCCTTGTTCGTCAAGTTTCTTGTTTCGGAATTATATTGTTGAGAGAGGGTTATAACCACTATTAAGTAGCCTCCTTGTCTGTAGTGGCCTTCTCGGCCTTGAGGAGGTGAATAACAAAAAATTAAGTAAATAAACCAATATAATGGATAAAATATACTAAATAATCTAATACGAGAAAGCACAATAACAAATAATGAAATAGTCTGTAATTGGAGTTGCAAATGATAAAATAATGTATTTATTTTTTATTTTTGCTATATGATATTTATTATTAATATTGGTATTACCAGACCTGAAAGATTTTAATGACTTAGTAGTTAAAAACTTTAAATTTAAAATAAGAAAAATATTTCAGGAAATAAGTGTTACTTTTTTTTTGTTTTGTTTAGGTTTCCTTAAAATGCACAAAAAAATTTGGTTTATATATTATTTATTTACTTTTGTTTATTTAATATATTTTGGGGCTTTAATATTTGCTTTTCATCTCTTTTTCACACCAGTTGCAATATTTAATACTCTGCATTTTCTAGTTAATAAAAGAAACAGTATTCATGATTTGTTCCTCAATGTCACCCTGCTACTTGTATCATGTAATCCAGTACAACCTGCCACATGTCTTTCTGTCGTGTAAGATTTGCTTTTCTAGGCAAAACCTAGTAGAACTTTGACTTAATATACTCCTTACTTTGTTATTTAATATGCCCTATTATTTTATCTCCTATGCTCTATAGGAGTAATCTGAAGCTTTGAACTGATCAGCCTTGCATCTCTTTTTTATCTAATAGGCTGGTGTAGATGTAAAACTTGTGTTGCATTTTCAAAAAGGTATTGTCTAGTGCTGAGGTCCATTATTATCAGATAACTAAATCTTCTACAAGGGTCAATCAAAAAATTCATATAATAAATTTTTTTTATAACAAAGAATAAGCGTAGAACAATTAAATTATAAGAGGATCATAAGTAGGCTTCAAAATAATCTCATTTAAATCTGTTTTTCAGTTTTTGCGGTTGCCGTTGCATATGATCATATGAATGTGACCTTAAGTTTGTCTTCATGCTTTCTTGAACCACTTTCTTTGTCTGAAAATCCAAATTCTTACAACAAAATTCAAATGAAGAGAAAGCATGTCTGTACAACAAGTTTTAGTCGGGACTTAAACTTGTAAAAGTCTCTGACTGCAGCAGACAAGCGTGGCCTGGCATTATCGTACTGAAGGAGTATTGTGTTCCATGTTACTCTTTTCGAGCCTTTGTTGACAAAATTAGAATACATATTCAATAGGAAAAGCATGTACACTTCTGAATTGACCGATTGTCCATTTGGAAGTACTTCAACATAGGCCTTGCCATCAAATGAGGTAGCGCAAATCACCATACTTTTTGCATCAAATTGGGATCTCCTGACACGTTTCAGAACTTCTTCACCCTTTGAAATCCAAGCGCAATTGCTACATTTGTACCCGATCGATCTGTGGTAAACCCACTTCTCATCCCCAATAGTTAGACGTTCAACATTCAATTCATCTCAGGATGGTCAGAAATTTATGCGCAAGTTCAACTCAATTTTGTTGATTTGCTGACGTTTTTATATTAGCGAAATGCTTTCAAATAAAGTAACAGTTACTGATAACGTTTTAATTTAAAGTATAGATGAAAGTTGTATAAGTTTTTATTTATGTTATTTAAATATATATAAGATTTATAAATAAGTCTGACAAGCTTGGTCTGGAAGGCATGCAATTTCACAGCTCTATATGACCACGCAAATAATATTTTGTTTTGACGATTTGACCACAGATTTAACATTTTAATAAAGCGCTGAAAACTTAACTTAGTTATAAAGAAACTATAAAACAAACTTATTTAAAAAAAAGAAAAAAAATCTTCTTAAAAAAAAAAAGAGAAATAAAATGAAAATAGCTTAGTAATAAATAACTAAAATAAAAAAAATAAAAATAAAAATAAAACTTAACTAAAATAAATAATAAACAATAAGATGATTACATTTAAAATAAATAACTTTGAATCTTTACGAAAGTTTTTATAATCTAAAATTAGTAGTGTCCCGTCTGCTTTGTTACCGCACTATATAAAATTATATTATTAGTAAAAAAAATGATAATAAATAGTACTAATCGACAAAAATATGTAAATAGACACTTTTGTTTTAATAAAAAACTTGATCAAAAACTCTAGAGATTGTTCTGACCCCTCTAACTCCCAATCATTCATCTTACTATTATCATCTTTGTTATTATTGTCTTTACTATTAATAACTTTGGTTATTTCATCTTTGCTATTATTATCATTGCTATTATCATCTTTGCTTTTATCATCTTGGAGGCTTTTGATAAAGTTTGGCATGCTTACTTTTTCTTTTTATGTTGTATCTGGGTAAATATTTTAAATTATTAAATTATTACATTCTAACCACAGTATTAAAGTTGTCTTTGATGGACAGTACTCTTTTTTATTTTCAGTTATTTCTGGGGTACCACAAGGCTCCAGTCCTGTGTTGTTTCTTATATATATTAATATATATTGATAATAATTTTAACAAAAAGTGCTTTTTAATTATTTAGAACAGTGCCTTAATTTGAATCTAATTTCTCTTTTATGACAGCTTGGGACTTTGGTGAATGTTGATACAAAAACAAAACTCAACTCTATACAGCTGATAATTATTGCAATCCTATTGATATAAATTTATGAGTATATATTTATATTGATAAGTAACAAAACAAATTTTCTTTCACTACTAGACTCTTGTAGATCGCTTCTTTTTATTGTACTCACCCCTGTCTTACTCCTGGTTTTATTCTCCTTTCTTTGAATCTGTTATTCATTTTTGTAGGAAGTACAATGATAAGAAGTATGAAGCCGTTTCTCTTTTAAATAAGATTTAAAACACGTTAAAAATGTTTTGCTCTAACTGCTAAGCTTGGGACTCTTACATTGGGTTGCAAGATTTCTCTTTTTTACAAATACAACCATTGTTGCTGCTCAAATGAGTTTTTATCTTTTATTCCATCTACCAGTATCTATTCTTGTGTAACTCATCATTTATTTCTTTTATTTTTATTATTTTATCCTTGTTTAACTTTAGAAAATATAGAAATATAAAATAGTTGACTATGTCTATATTTGAAAAAAATCTAGACAAAAAAATTATATTTTAATTTTTAATTTTTTTTTAAATATTATCATTTGACTTTTTCTGAAAATATATAAGTATATTTATACATACAAGTATATTTATATTACTATTTTCAAAATAGGAAAAAAAAAGCGATGAATTAGGAGCAGTTAAAGAAAAAGAAAATAATTTCAACAGTGTAACCGATGGCGATGAAATAGGTAGTGAACAATATGAATCAGAGGATGAAGACGTCAAGAGTGATGGTGAAAGTGAGGTAATATATAAGTTAATATTTAAAAATCTATGTAGTTATATATTTATATCAGTCTTCTTCGGTTGAAAAGGCTTAAGCATGAAAACACTGGCTAAACAAAGAAGAATGATATATGTAAATGTTATGCTTCCAATACCGATACCATTTTTCAATACCGGTATTTCGGTACTGATAACTTTGAATACCGGTAATACCTGTGTAATACTGGTATTAAACTTTTTTTCTTAATTGATCATAATATCAATAAAATCTCTAGTTAAAAATTTCATTGATTCAATAAACTTATTTATTTTATATCAAAGTTACTGAGTTTTTCGTTTTTTGCTTTTTTCTCCTTTGTAAAATTAGCCCTTAAAAAACAAAAGGGTGTTCAGAGTATCAACCTCAAGAGGTGATCGTAATTTTGTGACAATGTTGCCACTTCTTGAAAATCCACGCTTCCATTCCACTCTGTTGTTCCACTGTTGGCTTCAAAGTTTTCAAGTATTGGTAGGAATTTTGCAAATATATACCACAATTTCCTTCTTCTTCGAAAACTGCAATCTTATTACATATAATTTTAATGAATTATTCAAAACATTCAATTTTCCTTTGTTGTTACATTTCTTATTTTTCAAAATTGCAAAGTCAAGCTTTTCTTTTAACATCAAGTTTACATCGTTGTCAACAGAATTGCTAGAATCGGAAAAAACGCTGGTGGAAGAGAGAAGATTATACACTTTCTGATTTAGCTGATCTTTCAGTCGAGCAGAAAATGCTGTATTGGCTGACAACAGCGTTGCATCATTTCGACACAATGTTTCCAAAGCCAGTTTTACTAGCGCAAGGCATGAAGCAACAGCTAATATTGCATTAAACTCCTTATCAGTTACCTGAACTTTGGACTCAAAGTCAATCAGTGATTTGAAAATGCAATTTTTCAATTTTACGCAACGTTTGAGCATTGAGTGCGAGCTGCTTGAGTGAGTTTTGGAGTCAATTATTAGTAGAAGGCCTTTACCAAATTTTTTAATGTGTGTTTTTAAAGTGTTTGGTCAAATTTCACAATGGTGCGCACCTTATTGATTAACGGCTGTAAATCATCAGTTTTGCAAATTGTCAATTCAATAAAATCATTTCCTTCACTCATTACAACTTGAAACCCACCGGAAAGTTCTCCATCATTCTTGATTTTGTTTGTGTTTTCCTCAATATTTCTATTCTTGTCACTTTCACTGCTATTGTTATAATTGCAGATTACTTTCAAGTTTTTTTTTTTGTGCAGATGTTGACAGTTTTTTTGTACAAAATGTCTTGAACACCTTGTTGAATACCATGCCTAATGCACAACTATTGATCACAGTTACTTGAAAGTTACTTGAACATAATAACATAAACTGTGTCAACAATTTTTGAACTAAACCAATACATTTTTCAGCAGGCAGCGAACCAACAACTCTAGCTAATCTAAGGTTCCACAATCAAGGGTGTTCAATCTAGAAAAAAATGAGGGCAACAAATTGTCACATTGATTTTGCAAGAAACTGGTGATCAGAGGTTGGGATTTTTCGGCCGTTGATAACAGTACCAATGAGAATGAAACCAATGAAGATGCTACATCTTGGGTCAATTTCCTCTTCAGCAAGTCAATTTCATGGTTAGTTTTTTGATGTGTATGTAGTACACTGGTACTTCCACCATATGATTTTATCTCTTTGTTGCATTTGTTACACTTTGCAAGTTGATTTTCACACAGAATCACGCAGAAAATAAAATCTCGCAGAACTTTCGTCTACTCGTACAATGGTGCTAAACTCTTTGAACACTTTATATGACATTTTATTTTTTTCTGGTTAATAAGGTAATTCAGTCTATTAGACATAAAATATTGATTATTATTTCTTAATTCAAAATGCGTAAGGTTTTTTAGTAAGCGTTTTATAGCAATTGCTATAACTTTACATGGCATATATGCCATGTAATATCAAAATGATAGATTATAGATAATATAATGATAGATTATAGATAATATGTCAAGATGATAGATGATAGATTACCATGTCAAGATGATAGATTATAAACCGTTTTTCATGGTGTAATTTGCCAATGGTATACCATTGGCAAATTACACTATGAAAAACGCTTTATAATCTATCATCTTGACGTTTTTCAAAATTAAAAATGTTCTCAACATTCAGGATTTCAAACTTTTCTTTCTTTACATAAGTGCAAAACTTAAACATGCGTTATACATTTAAAGCGAGTGACATAATGATACTATTTTAAATCAGTTCTTTATTAATAGAAGGAAGACAAAATTTTACTTATAAATTTAACAAGTTTTATTTTTAATTAAAAAATTTTAACAATAATTTTTTTATAAAAGTTTAATTAAATAACTTATTATTCTCCCCATCCTAAATTCTTTAGCGAGTGTGATTTTATACTCTCATTACAAGATAAACGAGCGTTGTTTATCGCGACTGGAAGTTCTAAATATTTCATTTACTTTCGTGTTTCACGTAAAGAGAGAGATCGCATCTGCTATATCACAAGCCCTCAAAATATATATTTAATACCGGTATAAAGCCAAACCAATACTGGTATTTCGGTACTTGAAAAAGTCTGGCAATACCGGTATTTCAGTATCGGTACTACTGGTATTGGCAGCACTATATAAATGTATATAGTTATATAACAGTTTACAATACTTGTTTAACTTATAATTATATAACTGTTATAATTTATGTCAATGGCATTATTAAAAACCATTGCAAATAGAAAAAATATTTAAAAAAAATATTGCTTGATTATAATAAAGAATAAAATTTATTTTATTTTATAAAATATCTTGTATTTTATAAAAGACAAAAGATTTACATGAAGAAGAGAAATACTAAATAAAAGTAATTATTTATTATTATAAAAAGATTTTCAAAAGATAGTAGATGTCACTGACAAAAAAATTAAAAAGAGTTTTACACACTGCTGTGAAGTAGAAAAAAAAATCATGTATTAAGTAGATAAAAATCATTTGATGTCCTAAAAAACAAAAAAGAAAAACGCATTATCACAAAAATTAGCCAATCAAGAATGAATTATGCATCTTTTATCTCTTTTTCTGAAAAAGAAAAAAGTTACAAGTCAAATTTATCAAAAAAATAATCATGCTTTACCATGAAAATGAAAAAGTCATGTAAAAACATGAGGGAAAAAAAAAAGATCAACATAAAGAATCACTGTATAACATTGCTTTTTAATATTTAAGGTTTAGAAGTTTATTATTTAATTGTAATCAATTGTACTATAAATATGTATATATTTTTTTAGGGTAATTTTTTTGTGCATGCTCCTCCTCTGGTACAACGTGAGTTCATACAAATGAATTTATCAAGGCCATTGCTTAAGGTGCATTAATTAAAAGTTTTATTTTATTTTCATATAAGCTCATGTTTTTCATGTTTAAAGTTTAAATTCAAGCATGATTAGAATAAAAATTGATATATGTTTATTATATATAAATTTGAAAATTTAATTAGGCAATAAATGAGCTTGGTTTTGAACACCCAACAAAAATTCAGTCTTCAACTATTCCAATAGCTTTACTAGGAAAAGATCTTTGTGCTTGTGCGACTACTGGATCAGGTTTGTATTTAAGTTAAACAAGATGAGTATTAATATTGCTAAGCAATATAAACATTATGATATATAGGGGAAAGTGGGGCACCATGAAGCATTGTAATTGTGGAAACATCTTAAGAGTTGTGACTACTAGAGCTATGTTTTGAAAAAAAAATTATATCATTAAAGCTCATGAGTTTTAAGGTACCTTATTCAATGTGTCTATCGGTGATGACATTATTTTGTAAACTACAATCCATGAGCTTTTTACTTCATGAAGCAAAATCATTGAAAAAACAAGTCAATACTAAAAATAAAGCGTTTTTTTTTTCTATTAGCAAGTATGGGGTAACTTGATACAGCATTTGTGGGGGACCCTAAAACTGTAGAATAGTACTCTATTGTGTCATAAACAATTTTAAAAATCATTTCTTTTAATATTTATAGTCAATTTTAAAAAGATTTATGTAAATATAACACAAGGAGATCCCATTTCAATACAAAGCCATTATTTATTGACGCCCAAGAATGATACTGAATGCTATATATTATCTGGTCTTCTGAAATATGATATGGACCATTGGATGCATTTTTGGTTATAAACATTAATTTGTTTATATTTCAAATAAAAGTCTGCCTTTTTTCTATTTTATACTTTTTATTTACTTTTTTAACGATGCTCATAGTGTGTATCAAGGTATCCCATAGGTAGGAAATTTGTTTCAACCTTGAAACAAATTTCTAATTTTACTTTAGATAATCTCACGTTTAATCTGTTAAACGAGGGTTGTCCCAGAACTACCTAGCCTAACAAAGAAAACATAAAAATTTGCAGAGTTTAAAAGATGCCATATGATCTGTCAAGATAAACCCCACAGTGGTTGACCAAATGAGGTCACCATGAGGAAGGCAAAAAAAACTTTTTTGGGATGTGCATGGGATAATTTTCATTGATTGTCTTCAAAAAGGAAAAACTATTTATGGCGCATATTTATGTATATAACATTTAAATATATTATATGTATATAATATAATTGTAAATGTATATAATATAATATAATTGTAAATGTATATAATATAATGGATGTAGAATAATTTTTATTGATTATCTTCAAAAAGGAAAAACCATCAACAGCGCATATTATTATATGTGTGTAACATATGTAAATAATATTATTATATATTTATAATATAATTATATGTATATAATGGCACATGTTATTATATATATATATTAGCATATTATGCAAACTAATTGCAGCGTTTGAGTGAAGAAATCAAGGAGAAATGTCCGCATTTGGCAAAGAAGAAAGTGTTGTTTCATCAAGACAATGCACTGGTTCACACATCTGTTATTCCCTGCTTCCTTACGACCAGATTTAGCCCCTCAGATTATTTTCTATTTCCAAACTTGAAAAAATGGCTTGGTGGGAGAAGATTTTTTTACAAATGAAGAGGCAGAGTTTGGGATTTATAACTATTTTGCAGAGTTCAATGGTTCTTACTATAAACAAGGTGTCGAAGCAATTGAACATTGCTGGGAAAAGCGTATCAAACTAAAATGGACTATGTTGAGAAATAAAAATAATTTTTTTCATTATTTGCGTTTTCTTTGTTAGGCTAGGTTGTTTTGGGACAACCCTCATATTTTGGTACACAAGAAGTAATATCTGGTATGCATTGGAAGTAATATCTGGTAATGGAATACCAATGCATACCGGATATAACATATCAGAAGTACTATCTGGTATGCATTGGGGTTCAGTGCACAGCATTTTATAATTTCTTGAATCATTTTTTTATATATATTTAGTAAGACTAAAATATTTAAAAACATTCATAGTCACAGCAAAATGCAAATTTCTTTTTTATTTTTTTATTTTTATTCACCTCCTCAAGGCCGAGAAGGCCACTAAAGACCAGGAAGCTACTTAATAGTGGTTATAACCCTCTCTCAACTCTATAACTCCGAAACACGAACCTTGATGAACAAGGCCGCTGCGCGAAGAAACAAGTTGAGCGCAGTACTACCAGGGACGTGGTGGGGATCGAACTCGGAACCTCTCGCTTATGAAGCGAGTGTTTTTACCACTACACCACTACCACATCACATGAGGTGTAACTTTGAGTGTTTGAGGTCATAAAATCTTATAAATACTTATGTATTAAGATTTTATGTGCACACTTATTTATTAAATTTTTTAACACTAATTAATATTGATCTATCGGTTAAAGTTGTAATGTTGGTCTGTTAATGTTTCTATGCTGGTTTGTCTTCCATGTTTGTTTCTGTGTTTTTACTTGTTACTAGTTTTAGGGTTTACTTAGTTTTACTTAGTTTTTTAATCAATATGATTTTAATCAATATAACAATATATTATTTTTATTAAATGCTTTTTTTACTTTTATTGTTATTTTAATTATTCTTTAGGCAAAACTGCTGCATTTATGTTACCTATTCTTGAACGTCTTTTGTTTAAGCCAAAGCAAACAGCAGTTGTCCGTGTTCTTATTCTTGTACCAACGAGAGAGTTAGCTATTCAAGTATTTAATTAAAAATATTTTTTAATATATAACTTATTATATTGTGTGTATGTGTGTGTGTATATATATATATATATATATATATATATATATATATATATATATATATATATATATATATATATATATATATATATATATATATCATTTATTAAAATATATATATATATATATATGAATATATATATATATATATATATATATATATATATATATATATATATATATATATATATATATATATATATATCATTTATTAAAATATATATATATATATATATATATATATATATATATATGAATATATATATATATATATATATATATATATATATATCATTTATTAAAAATCACTGCGCTTTAACTTGCTTTATAATAAAAATTTAAGTTTATTGGAAATTTAATCTAATAAAAATAAAAATTATTTTGAGTAAAAAAAAATCTTTATGAAGGAAACGAAAAATCAATTTCGATAAAAATGAGCTAATTTTTTTTTAAGAATAAATAAAATTTAAATATTGAACAATATTTAGTAATATTTTTAAACCCAAGCAATAACTTTAATTTTAATAAACTTAAATATATATTTTTAATCAAAATTAAACTATACATTTTTTAAAACAAAATTAATTTTTTTTTTTTATCAGAATAAAATTTTTATTGAATAAGTTTTAAATTAAATCTTATTTTTTTATCAGATTTAAACTTTTATCAGAATCTCTCAAGCCTAAAGTGTAAGCGTTTTAAAAGCAAAAAAATCAATCATTACAATTTAAAAAAAATCATAATATAAAATAAAGATAAAATAAAATTTACCTTTTTTTATTATTTTAATTTTATTTTTTTATTAGTAAATAGAAATTTGAATAAATTTTTTTATTGCAATAAAAAATTATATAAACATACTTGTGCTTGCAAGATGATAAATAAAAGTTAAAAATGATTGTGAGAAATAGGCATAATGTTGATTTTCGAACTATTTCTGGCAAAGAAAAGTTGTTTACAGAGGAACAGACATTAAGTTGGAAGCAAACCCATTTTCCCACAATCCACTCATGGTATAAATTGAGGGATATTTAAATGCTGACAAGTTTGGTTTATTTTATCAACAGCCTCTGACGAAAACCTTTCATTTAAAAGGTAAACGATGTGCAAGGGGATAATTGAGCAAAGGTCATTTAACAAGCTTAGCAGCAGGAAATGAGTTTGGTGAAAAGCTGCTTTTGTTTATAATCACAAATGCAGAAAAACTATGATGTTGCAAATATGTCAAAAGCCTACCTTGTCAGTACAAGGCACATCTTAACCGAAACACATCTTAACTGATTATGTATTATTTTCACACATATTTTTATTCTAAGAGTTTTCTTAAAAATACTTTTAAATGAGAATCTATTCTGTTTTTTTATATCCTTATTTGCACACATAATAATTTATATATAAATTTTAAAAGTTAATATTTTATCAAAAAAACTTATGTTTTTTAAAATAATTTCTTAATAAAATACTGTAAATAAATTTTTTAATAAATAAATGAGGTTTTCTATTGGATTTTTAACCTTTTGTTATCTTTATTATTATCTTTGCTCATTCTTTCAAAACTTTTTCAAATTCTTTTAATGAAGCATCAATAATGATCAATTTAAAAACTTATTGATAAAAAAAGCTAAATCCAAAATTAAAACCTAAGAGTCTTTTAAAAGCTTCTAACTGATAAAGTAAACAAAAAAACTAACAAACTATACTTTTTAATCAGTCACTGTGTGAACAAGGTTTGTTAAATTGTAAAGTAGCTTGTAAATAAACTTTAAGATTAGTACCAAGTTCAAAAAAAGTCAAATCTATGTTTTGCTTAGCGCAAAGTTTAAAGCTGAAGGTAGAAAAATTGCTCTAATTATAAATAACTCCCCAGCCTGTCCTAATGTTTACAATTTCAAAGCAATTAGTATCTTAACCACCAAACACAACCTTCAAAACACAACTAATAGACTAGGGAGTCATAAGGGTATTAAAGACTTTTTATTGCATGAATGTTGTGAGGCATCAGATCAAATACATGATGCTGGTAAAACAACCCCAAATAACAACATTCTTGAAGCTATGTGCATGTTGGTCAAGTCTTGGGATGCTGTACCACAAACACTTTAATGAATTGTTTTAGAAAGGCAGGCATCTCACAGGAAACACAGGTCGCAAGTATAAATGGTTAAGATGATCCTTTCGAATTGCTTGAAGAGAACATCAGCAAGCTTAGATCACTTGATTTAGTAGATAAAGATTTTGCTGTTGAGATCACATAAACATAGATTTTGATATTTGTACAAGCAAACCTTGCTACAAATTGGTATCACAGATAAAAAAATATATATTTAAAATACTTATTTTTAATAACTTGAACAAATATTTTTTAATAATAATCATTTTTAATAAATAGTTATTGACAAAGCTTTAATGTTTCTTACTTTTATTCATATTTATGATGGACAGAAAAGTCGTAAGATAGCTAATTTCATTTAATAAAGTTATTTTAACAATTAATTAAAAAGAGTTTTTATTTGTAAAAATTTTTGTGTGTAGGTTTACTCTGTTAGTGAGTCTTTGGCAAAGTTTTCTATAACTTTGCCAAAGACTCACTAACAGTGTATGTGTGTGTGTATATATATATATATATATATATATATATATATATATATATATATATATATATATATATATATATATATATATATATATATATCATTTATTAAAATATATATATATATATATATATATATATATATATCATTTATTAAAATATATATATATATATATATATATATATATGAATATATATATATATATATATATATATATCATTTATTAAAAATCACTGCGCTTTAACTTGCTTTATAATAAAAATTTAAGTTTATTGGAAATTTAATCTAATAAAAATAAAAATTATTTTGAGTAAAAAAAAATCTTTATGAAGGAAACGAAAAATCAATTTCGATAAAAATGAGCTAATTTTTTTTTAAGAATAAATAAAATTTAAATATTGAACAATATTTAGTAATATTTTTAAACCCAAGCAATAACTTTAATTTTAATAAACTTAAATATATATTTTTAATCAAAATTAAACTATACATTTTTTAAAACAAAATTAATTTTTTTTTTTTATCAGAATAAAATTTTTATTGAATAAGTTTTAAATTAAATCTTATTTTTTTATCAGATTTAAACTTTTATCAGAATAATTATAATCTCTGCTTCAAGCCTAAAGTGTAAGCGTTTTAAAAGCAAAAAAATCATAATATAAAATAAAGATAAAATAAAGTTTACCTTTTTTTATTATTTTTATTTTATTTTTTTATTAGTAAATAGAAATTTGAATAAATTTTTTTATTGCAATAAAAAATTATATAAACATACTTGTGCTCGCAAGATGATAAATAAAAGTTAAAAATGATTGTGAGAAATAGGCATAATGTTGATTTTCAAACTATTTCTGGCAAAAAAAAGTTGTTTACAGAGGAAAAGACATTAAGTTGGAAGCAAACCCATTTTCCCACAATCCACTCAAGGTATAAATTGAGGGATATTTACAATGCTGACAAGTTTGGTTTATTTTATCAACAGCCTCTGACGAAAACCTTTCATTTAAAAGGTAAACGATGTGCAGGGGGATAATTGAGCAAAGGTCATTTAACAGGCTTAGCAGCAGGAAATGAGTTTGGTGAAAAGCTGCTTTTGTTTATAATCACAAATGCAGAAAAACTATGATGTTGCAAATATGTCAAAAGCCTACCTTGTCAGTACAAGGCACATCTTAACTGATTATGTTATTATTAAGGTTATGAAAGTAGTTTTTTTTTCACTTTTCACACAAATTTTTATTCTAAGAGTTTTCTTAAAAATACTTTTAAATGAGAATTTATTCTGTTTTTTTATATCCTTATTTGCACACATAATAATTTATATATAAATTTTAAAAGTTAATATCTTATCAAAAAAACTTATGTTTTTTAAAATAATTTCTTAATAAAATACTGTAAATAAATTTTTTAATAAATAAATGAGGTTTTGTATTTTTGAGGTTTTGTGAGGTTTTGATTTTTTTTTGTTATCTTTATTATTTATCTTTGCTCATTCTTTCAAAACAATAATGAAGCATCAATAATGATCAATTTAAAAACTTATTGATAAAAAAAGCTAAATCCAAAATTAAAACCTAAGAGTCTTTTAAAAGCTTCTAACTGATAAAGTAAACAAAAAAACTAACAAACTATACTTTTTAATCAGTCACTGTGTGAACAAGGTTTGTTAAATTGTAAAGGAGCTTGTAAATAAACTTTAAGATTAGTACCAAGTTCAAAAAAAGTCAAATCTATGTTTTGCTTGGCGCAAAGTTTAAAGCTGAAGGTAGAAAAATTGCTCTAATTATAAATAACTCCCCAGCCTGTCCTAATGTTTACAATTTCAAAGCAATTAGTATCTTAACCACCAAACACAACCTTCAAAACACAACTAATGGACTAGGGAGTCATAAGGGTATTAAAGACTTTTTATTGCATGAATGTTGTGAGGCATCAGATCAAATACATGATGCTGGTAAAACAACCCCAAATAACAACATTCTTGAAGCTATGTGCATGTTGGTCAAGTCTTGGGATGCTGTACCACAAACACTTTAATGAATTGTTTTAGAAAGGCAGGCATCTCACAGGAAACACAGGTCGCAAGTATAAATGGTTAAGATGATCCTTTCGAATTGCTTGAAGAGAACGTCAGCAAGCTTAGATCACTTGATTTAGTAGACAAAGATTTTGCTGTTGAGATCACATAAACATAGATTTTGATATTTGTACAAGCAAACCTTGCTACAAATTGGTATCACAGATAAAAAAAATATATATTTAAAGTACTTATTTTTAATAACTTGAACAAATATTTTTTAATAATAATCATTTTTAATAAATAGTTATTGACAAAGCTTTAATGTTTCTTACTTTTATTCATATTTATGATGGACAGAAAAGTCGTAAGATAGCTAATTTCATTTAATAAAGTTATTTTAACAATTAATTAAAAAGAGTTTTTATTTGTAAAAATTTTTGTGTGTAGGTTTACTCTGTTAGTGAGTCTTTGGCGAAGTTTTCTAACATTCAACTTGGTCTTGCAACAGGTTTGGTATAATTAGGTTCTTAAAAATATATTAAAAACATTTTTTTTTCGTATAAATTTAAATTAGGAAAGTTCATACTCTATTCATACGAGTTAACTCATAAAACCAACCTAGTAACCTTTTTTAATTTTTATATAAAAGTTTTTTATATTTAATTTCAAGGTGGACTTGATTCCCGATCTCAAGAAGCTATTCTTCGTAAAAATCCTGATATAGTTATTGCCACCCCAGGTCGTTTAATAGATCATTTACACAATACACCATCTTTTAATCTACAGACTATTGAAATACTTGTGCTGGATGAAGCAGACAGGTAACTTTCCCACAAAATTATTTGAATTGTTGTTATGTTATTCCGAACATATTTACTGTTAGTTTAAATAGACACAATTTCACGCAATACGTTAGGAATAGGCCTGTTGTCACAGCTTCGGGGGAATAGGCATGGTTTATAAATAAAAAATAATTTTTCATTTTTATAGGGTACAGCAAATAGTTTTTATAGGATAGGGGGATACAGCAAATTATTTTTCATTTTTATGTTATTTTCTATTTTTTTCTAACAATAGTTTGAAATTAAAAAATTATTTTTTAATTTAGAGTGCCCATAAAGTATTGCTATTCTGTTATGTATCTAAGGTTGCAGTCTTTTAAACATTTGTTTCTTTAAAAATGCAATACTGATATTGTTATGCCAATTACTCTTTATATAACATATATAAAAATGTTGTTACTATTTGATTAACTTTGCATAAATAATGTTTACATTAAATTAATGAAAAACAGTTGCTAGTTGCATGAAATTGTTGTTTTTTTTTAAATAAAGTATTTTACTATTTTTTATTTTAAAATATTTTATAATTTTTTTCATTTTAGAAAATGAAAAAAATAGTAAAATAGTATTAGGAATTTAATATTTACATTTTTAAATGATTATTATTTTTATATAATTTTTCTTTATTTGGGGCCCAACATGACACAATTTTGAGAAAACTTTTTTTATATATATGTATAATATTGATGTATAATATGACTTATTAAATGTAAAAAAAATAATTTAAAATCCTGTGTTATTTTATTATATAAAACACATAAGGAGATATTTTCCAAAAATGTTTTAAACTTTTTTGGTTTTTAGAATGCTAGAGGAACATTTTCATGATCAAATGAAAGAAATAATACGTTTATGTCCACGCGGTAGACAAACAATGTTGTTCTCTGCAACAATGACTGATGAAGTAAGTTATTTTGAACAAAACATAACATAATATGTTCTGTTTTAAATAAACAAAACATAATATGTTCTGTTTTAAATAAATGGGATAAAGTAAATAGATTTTGAACAAAACTCATGTATCACTTTTTCATTATAAATATAATAATAATAGTGATAAATAAAGTTAGTTGAGTATTTATTAAAAATCTAGGTTTTTGTAAGTATTTGAAAAATAATTACAAAAATCTAGATTTTTCAAATTAATTATAAATATTTTATTATATTCTAATAAAAATGCAGATTTTAAAATAATCATTAGGTGAATGCTTTGATGTCATTGTCACTAAATAATCCAGTGAAGTTGTTTGTTGACCAAAATACGGATGTTGCTTCAAGTCTACACCAAGAATTTGTTAGAATTCGATCAACTAGAGAAGCTGATAGGCTAGCAGTTGTTGTAGGTGTGTGTAAAATAAAGTTTCATATTTTTGTTGAATATTTTTTAATTTTCTATACTAAAATATATTATGAGAGGTTTATTTTATATATATATATATATATATATATATATATATATATATATATATATATATATATATATATATATATATATATATATATATATATAAATGTTAGCATTAGGTTTTTTATGAATTTTTATTTGTTATTTTAGCTTTATGCTGTCGTTCTTTTAATCAGCAAACCCTAGTATTCCTTCAGACTAAAGTTCTTGCACATAAACTAAGAATTATATTTGGTTTGTTTGGCTTAAAAGCAGCAGAGCTGCATGGTAATCTTACCCAGCTACAGGTAAGATTTTATTTTTATAATTGTATTAACTGTGTTCTGTATTTTTTGTCTCATCTTTTGGGAATAAAATTATTTTTTGCATTAATTTTTTGGTTTTAATATATTCAAAAGTTTACTTTTTTTGTGGTTATTTCAATAAACAATAGATTGTTAGCAAACTCTCTACTTTGACTGAGCTGTTGACTTTTAATCTGATTTATAACTCCAGCCTTTAATATTGATAGTGTTTTAACCTAAATGAAATCATTTAATACCTTTTACTTCAAACACTTTAAAGATATTTTTTCAAATTAAAAAAAAAAAGAAAAAAGAAAAACAAAGATTTTTCTTTAAAAGGTTTATTGAATAAAACAAAACAATTTTCATAAACCCTTCGCTGACATTTTTAGTTTCCAGTCTGTGGCATCCTTGCATAAATTCTTGAAAGAGTTTTTTATAAGATTACAAGTTTTATAATTTTGGTTAAATAATGTTTTAATTAAACTAGACATTTCAAATCAATCCAAAAGGTTTTCATATGAACTATTTTCTGCTCTGTTTGTTTAAACATCTTGCTACATAATCTTTTTAACTTTATGTAGAAAATGCTACTTTTTTTGAATAACATGTTGAGCTGTGTGGTTCCTCAGATGCAGTGTTGCAGATAGTTGCAGTTGTAGTTGTTCTAAAACATGGCACTTTATTCTGGATTTTAAACTGACTTGTCTAAAGTATCTTTTAAAAGCCTGCTCAGCTATTGTATTTACAGAGTGTTGTTATTTTTGATATTAAAACAATTGTTGTACAGGTTTTTGTACAGGTTGTTTTAAAGGAGTAAATAAGCGTAACTTAACTAATGGGGTTTTTTTTGTGGGTTTTTTATTAGTGAATCCTTTTTTAATATTTGATAAATTTTTTGATGAACAATAAGGTTTTTTAGACTTTAAAAGTCTTTTGATAAATGATTTGGTTTTAACAGCAGTATGTCAAAGATGTTAGTGTATTTACAAAAAGAGTGCTCAATAGCTGCTCTGTTCCTAAAGGGATCCTCATGTGCTAAAATAAGTTGTGTATCTTTAATAATTCTTAAAAATAAGTTTATCGAGATTTTTTATCGAGACATCAGGAGGAAACTTTATATTAAAAAAATTTTTATAAAACACCAATTGCCTTATTATGTTAGTGCAAAGGTTTTCTCTGCTACAAGTTACTATATTTCATGGCAAACTAAAACCTATTTTGTGAAAAATGGATCTGGAAATTTTAGCCAAGATGGGAGGAACCTTTATGTTGCTTCTGGTGACAAAATTTTATCTAATGCTGCCTTCATGTTCTGATATATTATGGGTAACTTGTACTTAGAAAATGTTGTCCTACTTTTTATAGATCCCAGGGGGATCAAAACTATGAACAAAATCTTTAAAACTTTGAGATTCAACTATACTTAAGGGTAGAGATTCTCAAACCATAAACTTTGTGATATTAAAATTGATTACCAGCTGTTTTTGTTCATGACTTTAATATTTTGAAAGTAAAGAAACTTTATTGTTTTGTGACTTAAATACTGTTGTATTGTTTTGTTTGTCTTTATTGTTTTGTGACTTAAATACTGTTGTATTGTTTTGTTTGTCTTTATTGTTTTGTGACTTAAATACTGTTGTATTGTTTTGTTTGTCTTTATTGTTTTGTGACTTAAATACTGTTGTATTGTTTTGTTTATCTTTATTGTTTTGTGACTTAAATACTGTTGTTTTGTTTTGAGCTGGGACTACTTGAGCAAGCATAACTCTTTTTTTTTTTGCTGCTGGATCTTGTATTAATCCTTCGATATATTTATCTGAAATTAAAAAACAACTTTTCAATTTGAACTGTTTAGGTAAAAAAAAATCAATAAAAAATTTTTTATTATAAATTACTATGTGTCTCTGTAGAGTTATTTTTCTCTCCATCATTTTGATCAACTGAATTTCCTAATTCTTTTTCAATTAATAATTTATACAAATGTGAATGAGTTATTTTCAAGAGGTATCTCATACTTGTTGTTAAACCCTTATCAAGCTTGTAAACTTTTTGGCACTTTTTGCAAATTGCGTTGGCAACTACTTCACCATCCTTATTAGTTTCTTCTCTCTCAAAATAATCCCAAATAACAGAACACGTTTTTGGCATTTTACATACAATAAAGAAACTAATATATATAAAAAATATCATAACACCTTTACAATATAGATAATATGCTTTACTTATTATAATAAAAAAAGGCTATTTAGAAAATTAAATAAATTTTAAAAAAAAGTCAAGTAACTGAAATGAGAAACATCTTGTTAAATAATAAAACTTATTTAAATTATATGTTTTAAACTCAACTTGAGTTTAAAACATTTAAGTTTTAACAAATTTGTTAAAATTTTTAACAAATTTGTTATACATATTTGAATAAAGCTGTAAAATAATATTTTTATATTAATATATTTATAAATTTTTGTTTTCTATAAAATTATATAAAATTTTTCGCTAAATTTTCAAAACCTACAGTTTGTTAATTGAACTGTATGTTTCGATTTTTTATTTTTTTTTATTTTTTTTTTTTTGCTCCTTTATTTTTTTCAAAAGTTTAATCAACCTTTGATTTTGATTAAATAAAACTTTTTTTAAACAATTCAAAAAAAATTTTTTATATAAAACTAATAAAAATTAATGGAAATTAACAAAAAAAAGGACTGTTAAAAATTTTTAGCGTAACAGGTGTTAACAGATGGATTTACTGGACAGAAAAATCAAACACCCATGCTTACTAATATTAGTGCTATGAATATAAGATATGTAAATTTAAAAATTATCCTGATATTTGTTCTGTTGATAAAATTTTAAAATGGAAAATACAATTTCTTTTTCTTTTTGGGTTTAGTAAGAAATAATGCAAATAAATTTGATTTCACAGTAATGAAAACGAAATATTTTAATGTAAATAAAAATAAAACAATGTTGAAAAGCAATATTTTTTGTTTAATTACAATATTTATTTTGTCAAAAGTCTCCAGTTAAACTAAAATATAAAAGGGAAAACTCAATCTAGTTGTGTAATTGTGTAAATTATTTAAAAAACTTAAAATTAAATTGTTTAAAAAACTTGTGTTATTGTGTAAATTGTTTTAAAAAGCAGTAATTACATTTATTATTCAAACCAGATATTTTTACAATTGAAAAAACCATGCAGATTCATGAAGTTTATATTAGTTGATTTTCTAACTTTCCAATCATCAACAAGGGCAGCTTTTGGCCAACCATATTTTCTGCTGCTAGATGTTTGATTTTTTCTTATATTTTTAAATGCAATCGTAGAAAAAACTTCAAATAATTGACAGGGTTTTTGTCAGGGAGAACAAAAAAACATTTCGAACAAGTGAAATTTTTGCAAGTTCAAATAACTTATATTTCTATGAGTTTAATAAGGAAAATACATGGGGAATGAAAGTTGCTTTGAATAAGCAGGAAACTTGAATAAGTGCCAGTTCCAATAACTGGAAATTTATTATATGTATGTATATTAGTTATTTAAACACACATTTATAGTTTATGTATATGTCTTAATAAGAAGCCTACACTCTCTGATTGCTTGGAGGGGGCATTTGAGCTTGAAAATGATTGCACTTCTGCTGCAGCATAGGGCTCACAGTGGCTAGTGAACTTTAATTCAGTAAAACCAAATTTTTTTCAGCAAGTCATTATTGCAATAATTTAGATCTTCCTATATTTATGAACGGTAATGTACTCGATGAGTCATCTACCCTTTATCTTATAAGATTAACTCTTAGAAAACTTCTTAGAAACCATATATCAAGTCCATTGCAAAATTAGCATCTGCTAAAGTTGCATCTCTTTATTGTCTTGGCCACTTTTTTACTCTGGGTTCTATTCTTTATCTCTATAAATCTCAAATCTGTCCTTTTATGTAATACTATTTCCATATCTGGGGCGGATCTTCCAATGATGTCCTTTCTCTTTTAGACAAGGTTCAAAAATGCATTATAAACATAGTTGGACCTACTCTTGTAACCAATCTCCAATCATTACCAATCTTGATGTTGCTTCTCTTTCACTTTTCTATAAATACTATAATAGTCACTGCTCTAAAGAGCTAGCATCTCTTGTGCCATCTACTAAAATTCATTCTCATGTTACTTGTTATTTAATTAAGTCTCATTCTTTTACTGTGACTGTTCCAAAGTACTCCAAAAACTCTTATTCGTTTAGTTTTTATCCTCAAACATCAGTTTTTTGGAATTCGCTTTCTTTATCTTCCTTTCCTAATTCATATAATTTGCAGTCTTTTAAGTTATCTGTCAATCGTTATCTTGCTTCATAAACTTCACCTTTTCTCTTTCATTAACTTCCAACCAAAATAGTGGTTACTTGCAACCTTGTTGGAAGCAAAGATGTTGTAATATATATATATATATATATATATATATATATATATATATATATATATATATATATATATATATATATATATATATATATATATATATATATATATTACAACATCTTTGCTTCCAACAAGAGAGAGAGATATGTAGAATATACAAGGGAGTGCCGCTAAATCAAATAAGGGTTTGGGATGGGGCAGCAATCGTTTTAATTAACTAATTAAGAAAAACAAATTTAGAAGTGTTATTTTGTAAATGTACATATTGTGGAATGTCTATTTAATTTTTTTTTTTTTTAATTTTGAATAACTAAATTTAATGTTACATTTTTTATTATCATTTAACATAAATTAATTTCTTTCTTTTCTTGACATATATAAAAATTAATGAATTAAAATAGTTTTTTTTTTTTTTTCATTATTTCTTAAAATTACACCTTCACAAATAATGATTACTTTTTTTAGTACTTTTTTTTTTTTGTGACAAAGATATTTAGTTATAAATAATTAAAAAAAAATTTTTAATTTAAATAACTTTTTTAATCAAAATTCTCTCTAAAATTATAAGGAAATTTATGTTTTTATTTTTTTGATATTGCACAATCTGTTAATTATATAAAGCTCATATAATTATTATAAAATATTATTTTTCTAAACTTTTACTTTCACTTTTAAATATTTTCGCAAAATAAAAGCTAAAAATATAAACAAAGACATTGCAAGAGCTATATTGCTTTAAGCGTAAACTCAAGCAAAAATATTCATATTAGAGTTATGTATCCATAAAATAAATTTTTTTTTAATTATAAAAAATTAAACTCTATAAAATGTGGTTTAAAGTTTGAAAAAAATAGTTTTTTCATTTTTTTGATAAAATCAATCGTAATAACAAAACAATCATTGTAATATCAAAAGTAAAATATTAAAGTAAGATTTAATGAGATTTTTTAGCTCTTTTTTTTTTTAATTTTTTTTTTTAAATTCAGTAATTATTGTTATTATTTGTTATGAGAAATTGTTTAAAATAAATATTCTTGCGCTTGCAAGATAAAAAAATTTTTATGTGTATTTTATGATTTCTTTTTTTACCTTGCCTTTAACATCATTTTTTTTCTTTTCTTTTACTGAACATTTTTGATGGAAAAAGTTTTTTGATGATAAAATTTTTTTTTTTTTTTTTTCTTGTTATTACATTTGCAAATGTCGAATCGAATGTAATTGTCATGCAAACTTTTTTACGTAATCATTATTCAAACTTTATAAGTGGTCTTTATAATGTTAATTACTTTTTTTATCTTACCGCTTAAATGATTTTTTTTAGACGTTTAAATATTAAAAAATGGTTTAGGTGAAATAGCTAACCGCTTACATTAATTGGCTTAGGGCATATGTTACGCTTTAAAACAAGGCTTCTATATGTATGTATGTATATATATATATATATATATATATTATATATATATATATATATATATATATATATATATATATATATATATATAATATAATAATACGAGCGATCATGATAAATCGTTTTAACAATTAAAATTCAAAAGTTAATTTCTTACATTAAAAATGTTGGACTTTATAATTCATAGCTCTCTGGTATTTTTTCTTAACTACTTTTTAATGCCTGGAAGTTTTTTTAGCGTCTTGAAGCATTAGAGAAGTTTAAAAACAATGAAGTTGATATTCTTGTTGCAACAGACCTTGCAGCTCGTGGGTTGGACATAGTTGGTGTAAAAACTGTGAGTATTACATAAGTGTATTTTTTATTGTTCTCATTTTTTATTTGAGCTGTTTATTTTGAAAGTAACATAAGTCACCTTTTTTAAAAAATCAAGTTATTGATAACAATGAGTACAATGTAACAGTATTTCTTCATTTGTGAAATTTCAAAAATATAGTTCAATAGTTTCAAATCGAGTTTGACCAGTCAATTTAAGTAGTTAATGTGTATATACATATGTATACGGTGTATATACACACAAATCAAGTAAATAGATGCAAAAGCTAAAAAATGCTTGTTTAAAGCATACATGTTAAGCCAAACAAGTTGCTTGTTTTAGTAGCTTTTTTTACAAGCAATTGTTTCTTGCATGAACTGTTACTTTAAATCAAGTGTTTTTTTGTCTTCAACAATGTTTTAGGTCTCAATTAATTTATTTTATGCTTTTTAAAACAAAATAAATTTATTTTATGTTTTTTAAAACATAATAAATTTATTTAGTTATAAAAGTTGTATTAACGAAACAATTAAAATGTTCGCAAATACAAAAGTAAAAAACAAAAAAAAGCAAAACTAAAAAGTCTAAATAATTTTAATTTTGAATATTTTTTTTTAATATATAAAAAGACTTTCAGATTTTTTTACATATTAAAATTTTTTTACATATTAAAATATTTTTTTCAACTATTCGATTTATTTATTCAAATTTTAATTACAAAAAATTTGTTTTCTTTCAAGCTCTAGAAAAAGAGTAATTATTAATTAAATTAAAATAAGATAGAACTATGAAAGTGTTTTAAATACTCTATAATTTGAAACAACAAGTGTTTCCTTGCAATAACTTTAACTTGTCTCATAACTGCTAAAAGAAATCCTAAAAATAATTTTTATAATAATTTTTTTTACTATTTATCAAATATAAAAATATATTTTATTCTTGCAAAATTTAGCTACTTTAATGAGGTTTTACAAATCTAAAAAATTTTGGAAGCTTCTTTTGCAGGAGTCATAAATTGCGCTAATGTAAACTGACTTTGAGCAGTGCAAGGACAAGCATGAGCCACAGCTTGTTATTTCATCCAACGCTTGTATATATTTGTGCGTGTATATAAACTTTTGTGGGTTTAGGTTGGCACTATCCTATAATATTGTATTGTAATATACTGTATTAGTAGATGTTGCATAAAATTCTAAAGCATTTTCATGCAATGTATACCAATGAACTGTATGAACAGTATGTGGAAACTAAGGTTATTTATAATTCAGAAAAAAATTAAATTATTTTAAGAGATAAATCTTGAAAAAAAATTGATTTTTTTAAAATGTAGAAACTACAATTCAACAGAAGCAACAATTCAATAAACAACAAAAATGTTGTTATATTATTTCAATCTTTAATCGGGGTGGCCTGCAAAAAAAAAAGTGGAACATCTGGAAAAGTTGAAATGTTAAAAAGTCAAGGTTTTCAGTGAAAAATGAAATTAAAAGTTTCCTGGCCAATTTGTTAATGTACAATTTAAAGGAGCTATCATCTCTAGTTTCATCAACCAAAACTGATTCTCACTTCACAAATAGAAGATTATTTTAATGTGTGTTAAATATTGGTAATTTGAAATAGTTGCTCAGTAGTTGTTATATAAGTTACTTAATTATGCTATGTATTTATATAACTTATATAACACAGGTTTTACTTTGCCCTCTTTTGCAGAAACAAATAGAATATTTAGGATTTCTATTGTTAATAATTCTGAATCAATTATAATTATAATTTAGTAATGCATGTCTTAATTAGCTATTCAATTGTTTTAACGTTTTTATATTTTTAGGTAATTTCCTTTAATATGCCAACCACAATAAAAAGCTACATTCATAGAGTTGGAAGAACTGCAAGAGCTGGGAAAGCTGGAAGGTCTAATTTTTCACAATAAAATACAAAAACATCATATTCCTATCATCATAATAAAAGACAAGAATTTTCTTTTTTCCTATAGATCTATAACGCTGGTAGGTGAGAAAGAGCGTAAAATGTTAAAAGAAGTAGTTAAAAATGCAAAGATTCCTGTGAAAAACAGAATTTTATCAACAGGTATAGTATATACATAGTAAAATATGCTTAACCTGAATGATGTTAAGTTTTGCTGTCTGAAAGAAAATTTAAAAAAATATTAATATCGTATTTATATATGTGTGTGTGTGTGTGTGTGTGTGTGTGTGTGTGTGTGTGTGTGTGTGTGTGTGTATATATGTGTACAATATATATATGTGTGTGTGTATATGTGTACAAATATATATATGTGTGTGTGTGTATATGTGTACAAATATATATATGTGTGTGTGTGTGTGTATATATATATATATATATATATATATATATATATATATATATATATATATATATATATACACACATAAATATATATATATATACACATATGTATATACATATATATATATACACATATATATATATGTATATTATATATATATATATATATATATATATATATATATATATATATATATATATATATATATATATATATATATATATACATATATACATATATGTTTATATATATATATATATATATACATACATATATATATATATATATATATATATATATATATATATATATACATATATATACATATATATATATATACATATATATATATATATATATATATATATATATATACATATACATATATGTATATATATATATAAATATATATATATATATACATGTATATATATATACATGTATATATATATACATATATATATGTGTGTGTGTGTGTATATATATATATATATATATATATATATATACATATATATGTGTGTGTATATATATATATATATATATTCATGTATATATATATATACATATATATATATATATATATATATATATATATATATATATATATATATATATATATATACATATATATATATGTGTGTGTGTATATATATAAATATATATATATATATATATACATATGCAGGCCTCGGCAAAAGTAAATGAGTGCAGGAGTGGAGAAAAGCTCTAATAAAACGAAAATGGCGAGCCATGCGAGCTGGTCGTCTAAATAGCTCAAACTCATACATACATACATACATACATACATACATACATACATACATACATACAAAGACGTGGTAGCCCATGCAGGATTTTATTTAAAAAGCCTATATATGTGTGATTTTACCATATATGATGGATGTAAAGACCCATACATATATATATGAATAGTACTTAAAATATCACCAAAAAACTAACTTTATTCAAATAAATTGTCTATACGCACCAATAATTTGAAGTTTATAATACAAACCAACAAGTTGAGGTTTGTAATACTTTAGCACTAAAAATGGTAAAAACCACATTTTTGTTTTGATTTCCTTAAAATACAACTTTGCCACCAAGTTATTGTAACCGAATACGGTTTGTTTTTTGTTGTTTGAAGAATACCCATTAACACAAAATTAAGAAATAAGAATTTAGTTTTATGTTTTTTTTTTTTATTATTATTATTATTATAATATAAATTGTATTGTTATGTATAAAAAATAATAATTTTCTTGAAAAATGAGAAATTGTTTTTATAGATAGTTAACGCTTTTGTTTAATTCTGCATTTTAACTAACAACTAGCCTTTTTGCAAAGCATAAACACACCACAGCACTCTAAAAATGGTCCTGTAATTGACATACAGGGGTGGGACCGCAAAATGTGAACGTTTTTGTTTTATTATAACTATTTTCTCGTTAGATGTAGTTGAGTTTATTTGATAAAAAACGAAAGACAAAGTACTAATGAATATGTAAACAAAGTAAAATATAATATGTAAAAAAACAAAAATTGAACATTTAAAATAGTTCATATTTAACAGAAAATTAATTATTACAATCAGAAAAGTGTTCACATTTTGCGGTCCCGCCCCTGTACCTTAAATATAAAAAGTTTTTATATTGTAGTTTTATTTAGCATTTAGTTGAAAGTGACAAGTCACTTAGTTTCATATTTTTATGAAAATGCAATTCAATTGTTTTTTTTATTTTAAAAATAAATTAAAATTTAAAAAAGAATTATAACAAAAAAATTTAAAAGGAATTAAATCTATAATTTATTTTAAACATATGTATACATAATAATAATAAAAAGGCGTTATCAAATGCGTAAAGTGTGTAGGTCTAATATAACATTATATTTGTAATTATTTGCGGTACTTCTAAACTTAAATTAAAATAAGTTTGTTGAATGAAAAGGTTTTATGCTATTTTTAAAAGGTTATTAATGTTATATATTTCAAAACTCAATTGGATTTATATATTTAAAAAATGTACGCAATTCAATAAGTTATTTTAATAGATAAAAGGGAGTAATTTTATGGTTACCTTAAGTTTATTTGAAATGTTTAAATACTTGGGGAAATTACTTTTTCACATTCTTTATCCTTTATCAACCTGGCTGAGGATATTGCAGAGTGATTGCTTTATTTACCCTGCTTTGTGTTAAGACTGTCCTTAAATAAATGTAGGACACTTTCTAGTAATAATAAATGCACTGTTAAATTATATAAAGTTATACTTTTATAAATAGATGTCATTTCAAAACTTCTCATTTAGTTATTTGTATAAAACTATTTAAGTGCATTTAAAATAGCAATGCTACGTGCAATAATAGAAATTAATTATTATAAAAATACATAGATTGTTTTATTATAAAACAAGTTTCTATCAATTTTGAAACGTTTCAAAAATGCAAAACATGAACTCGATACTTATTATTACAATATTGAATTTATTTTTCAATTTAACAATCATTAAAAACCATTTATAGGTTCATAATTTTTTTAATGAAAAAATATCATATTGTTTTCAGAGCAATGTTGCTAGAGTTGTTATGCAAAATACTACTATAATTGCACTCAATTAAATTGAATTTGTGCAAACATAGTAAATATAAATATATTAGTTGATTTTTTTCAGAATGTCAAAAATAGTAATAATTGCCTAAAAAGCCAATACTTGGATTAAAAAGTGCTAAAAGGCCCATATTTAAATAAAAAAGTGAAAAGCACATGAGGGAATCCCATATGGCCTCTGGGGTTACCACGCCTCTGTGTATGTGTGTGTATATATATATATATATATATATATATATATATATATATATATATATATATATATATATATATATATATATTATATATATATATAATTAGATATAGTATGCGGTAGTGGTGTAGTGATAAAACGCTTGCCTCATAAGCAAGAAGTTCCAATTTGTTCTTACCACATTCCTGGTATTACAGCGCTCAACTTGTTTCTCCACACAGCGTCCTTGTTTATCAAGGTCCATGTTTTAGAGTTGTGTAGTTGAGCGAGGGTTGTAGCTTCAACTAAAGTAGGCCTTGGGGAGGTGAAGTGACATTTTTTTTATAAAAAAAAAAAAGAATCAAAATAATGATTGTATTAAGTATTTAATTGAAAAACAGAATTTTATTCTCTGAGTTTTTTCAGAGGTTGTGGAAAAATACAAAAATAAACTTGAAAGTTTTGAAAAAGACATCAAGGAAATTCTAAAAGAGGAAGAGTCAGCAAAGCAAGTAATATTTAAATTTTTGTTTTTTACTTGTTTTTTAGTGTTAATATTGTTTAATTTTAGATCCTTAGATGATACCATCAATATATTTTATTTACATTGATAAAAATTTGTAATGTTTGCTTTGTAAATTCAGAAAGTTTAACAAAACAAGACATGTTAAGTAATTTTTTACTTAATTAAAAATATAGTTGAAAAGTATAATTTAAATTGTCATCGAATTTTAATCAATGCAATTTAAGATGTTTGTATTCTTTCATTTTTCTTTAATTTTAACTTAAATTCGATATTATACTATACTATACTATACTTACTATTTTAATACTATAATAGTATAAAAATAATCTAATAAATAATACTATATACTTATATTTTATATGCTTATGGAAACCATTTTTAAGTTAAAAATTTAAAAAATTCTTTTTAGACCCTTGTCAATTTATTACAATAACTGAAACTTGTTATGCAAGTACTCTGGGTTGTAAGATATTTTTTGACTCCCACCTAATTTTAAAATAGGATTAAAGTTTAGTTTACTGTATTTTAAATATATAAAAAATATACTTGAAACTCTGCAAAGCAACTAAACTATGTATATGTAAATAAGTGTGTTAAGATGTATATATTATATCAGACCATAAAATTGATTCAAGACGTTCAACACTATCAATGATAAAACACAAAAGCAATTTTTATTGCTTAAGATATGGAGTATCTGGCAAAAAGTTTCCAAACTTTTAAAAGAATTCAATAAAAAAAAATTGACTTGGATGAAATTTTATATTCATTTTATAGTTGTAGAAACAACATTAATTTTGTTATTATTTACTTTTCAGTTACCATATCCTTTATCTTCTCTTTTTAATTAATGTAGTTTTTTATATTTATAATATATATAATTATAATATAAATTTAAAAAGTATTTGTATATATTTTTTTGTGTGTTTTTTGTGTAAAAAGTAAAGGTTTATTGGTTCAGTTATTTGGGTTGGGCAGGGACTAAAATATCAAATAATCTAAAATTTGGTTTACATTTATATTTTGTAGAGGGGCGATATAGGAGGGGTACACCTTGTAATCTAAAAAAAGGTTTACTCCTATTTTTGCAAAGGTCTAATACTAATAATAAATTTTAGTAATATGGTATTGTTTATATAGATTTTTATCTCCAAACATGTTGGATTGTTACACTTATATGTTGAATTGTTTTTCTCAAATGGACTACTTATTTCCTTGCTATAATTTATTTGTAAAAAAAAAAAACTTGAATTTTTTTTTTTTTTAAAGTTTGCTTTAAAAAACCAAATTTTAAACAAATGTAAGAAGAATAGGTTTTTTTAGATTTTTTTTTTAAAAATTACATCAAAATTATTTATTGAACAATTTTTGTTTTAATAAAAAAATCATACATTGTTCTTGTGTAGAAAAATGGAAAATAACCATGAAATATAAAATCTTTTATGTATTAAAACAAATTTACAATGTGTAATATAAAATCTAAATAAAGTTCTCAAAGAATCAGTTGACATTAGTTACCTGATTAGTTAATAGTCTAATTCAGTTGACATTAGTTACTTGTATGATTAGTTAACATTTACTAAGTTGTAAAAAATAGTCTTAAAAATATCATCATGAAAGCTTTTTTTATTACTGAAGTTTAAAATATAAAAAGTCTTATTTTGATTAATAAAACAAATGGATGCATAACATAAAAATACAATAAAAAATGTTTTCTAGCATTTTCCTCATTTCTGTTCTATTCATTTTTGTTCTGTTCTAAATCAGTACATAAAGATATTTTGACAAAATCTAGTTAAAATTAAAGTTTAAAAATGCATTGTTTTGGCAAAAAAAATATTTAGCTATTTACTGCTTGAAATTGTTTTGACACCTGAAACAACATTATTTATTTCGAAAACCTAATTCATTCCATCACTTTTTAATTTATGTTTTGACATCGTTTTGCATGCATCCAATGCATTTTAGTTGTCCTCCCGTGTTGCTAGCTGTTTTGGAATAATTCTGAAACTAAATTCTAAGGAATTATCTCTATCACCAACATCAAGCTAAATATTTCAATAGACAATTTAACAATTAAAATTTCCATTCTTTTTATCATTATTTACTTCATGAACACACAGTACTATACAAAATATATCACAACAACAACACAATTGATAGCTAGCATGTTACCTCCTATAAATTTCATTATAATTTTTCTTTTGACAGTTCAAAGTTCATAATCATAGATGATTAGTTTCTTGGTTGTTCATTTTTATAAATGAAGAATGGAAGAACAAGAACAACATTATGGAAGAACAAGAACAACATTATCCAGTTGTTTGATTCTTTTTTCATTTCTATTATATCCTATTTCAAAATAAAAAACATAATGAAGATTAAAAAACAAAGTAAAAGTCCATAAACAATAAAATGATTAGTATAACCTATAAACTTATATTATAATTATTAATGCGACACAATGAATAATAGGAAAATGGGAAATTTGATAATAGAATCAGATGTAGATGATGTCATTGGGTAAGAATCAGCAATGAATGTAAATACTATTTAGTTGAATGAATAAAATTTCACAACTCAGGGTGAGACAAATGATAAAATAATGGCCTATAAGTTAGTAAGTCTGTATAAATCCGCTGGTGTAATAATGGCTCATGTGACTAAAAATATGGTACAATATAAAATAATCAAGTAAAAAAAAAATGTTTTTATGTATTTTAATGTAGTGAAAAAAAAAAGATAAATTCAGCTCAGATAAAATAAAAATAAAAATAGAATATGCATCGCACTAAGCTATTGTGTTGATATGTATATGTAAAAAATTTAGTTTATAAATAAAGCATAACAAACCATTTTAACTTGACATAAATAAATTAAAAAATGATTACCACCTGTGTTACAGCAGGTTATATTAATTTAATGTTTGTAGATATTTTTTCATCTAATGTTAATCATTTGCCAATTACTCTATGTTTTAACATGAAAGTAATTGTCTCTATTTATCAGATAAGATTTATATTTCTCATACTATTGGAGTTACCACATTTTCTACCATATTTTTTTTTAACTACTCATGTACTAACCACAAACCATCTTATCTAAGTTTCGATGTTTATGAGTGGGTATTTATTTATTATATTTATAAAATATTACAGCCATAAAAGAAATGGTAAGTTACTTTTTGTTATTAATTACTAAACTTAATTATGGAATTTTTTACTTATGAGGCGAGCACTTTACCACTACACCACTACCGCAATTAAATAATTTTGTATTGTACAATATTTTTAGTCATGCAAGCCATTATTTCACCAGCAGATTTATACAGACTTGCTAACTTTTTTATCATTTTTTATCAAGACCATTGTTTTATCATTTGCTAATGTTGACTAGAGTGTGAGTTATGGTTGCCCTTGCTTCCTGAGTTGTGAAATTATATTCCTCATACTAAATAGTCTACAATCATTGCTGATTTTTACCAAATGACACTATCTACCATCTGATTCTATTATTACATCTCTTAGGTCTACGTATCTGGACAGCTTCGTTGGTCACCTATATACGATCATTGTGTTGCATAAAAAATTAAAAATAAAATAATAAAAGCCCATCAATGATAAAATAAAAAAAAACCTACTAAATCTTGCACATGTTACTTTATATCATAATCAGATAAATCTTTCAAAATAGAATTTTTGAATTGAATACCAAATTTTTTGTTTAAAAATGATGCAAGTATTTTTTTCATTATTGAGTGTGATTATATTTTGTTAGTTTTACAATTTCAAATAAAAATTAGGAAACACAATCTAATCACACATAAATAAAATAGTCATGAATAAAATAAATTTTTTAATTGTATATTAAACTCTGTTTGTGCTTTCAATTGTAAGTTTTATTTATGCTCACCATATTAAGTAATTTTACAACCATGTCAGGATTTAGACATATGTAAATGTTTGTGCACTCTCTTGCTAGTTAAAAATCTTTTAGTGATAAATATGTTAGAGACTTAGCAAATTAAAAGGGAACTATATGATACAGAATAAAAAACAAGTTTGATGTTATGCTGGTATTTTTCATCATGGCTTGAGCCTTGATACCCTTTCTTGTTGCACGCTAGTCGAAACTGTGACAACAACATTATCCTTGTAGTTAATATCAAGTTCAATTAGCAATATTTCATGTTCTTCAATTTTCTCATTTTCTGACCCAGTTTTTTTTTTTTTTTTACAGCAGTTTCTATTAAAAATGAAAAAGAGGAATATATATATTTTTTTTCTTTCTTCCTGTTTATTTTAGAAGGTAAAATTAAACACTATGTCATAAAAAACAGAGTTCCTAACCAAAGATTTCTCACAATATTTGAAGTATCTTACTGTATCAAACTTGAAACTTTTTTTTTTTTTACATCAATCTGAAAACTTTTGTAAACATAATTACAATAATTTATTTTATAAAATGGGTTTAAACGAGTAAAATTAAAAAGTGAATTTCTAAAGCCTAATGCTTTATTAAGTTGTTAAAACACAAAGTTTACAATCGTTTTTTTTTCTGATATTACTATTTTATTAACTTTCAGCTGTATGCGTGTGTAAAAAAACATTCAGGAAAAGGTGTTATCAAACTACAAACATTCCATTTACGAAGTCAGCATCTTATCCAAATTAAAACGCACATATAATTAGGAACAAATAATATACTTATTTTAAATATTATTATTCTTCTTCCCATATAAAAAATAAACTTAATTAAAATTAACTAGATTAATTGACTTATTGCAAAACTAATTGTTGAATATTGGATCGTCATCAAGCAAGAGTATGTATGTAAAATTTGAAGAAAATCTATAATCAGAAAGTGACTCAAAAATTGATTGCAAGATTTGATGAGATGTTAACAGAGACAGAGATGTTAACAGAGACGAGGAGTTAACAAAAGCATTAGAAAAAAAAATATTTTTTTCATGACAATTAATTGTTAGTATTTGTTTCAAAATAATATTTGTACTTGTTGTTTAGTATTTGCATAAATGTAAAGTAAAACTCAAGATGATAAAAAATAATATAGTTTATACAGATTTTTTGAAATATCTTTTTTTCTTCTAATAATATACTGATTTTGAAACTTCTTATACTCTAGGCAAAAAATTTATCAAAAATTTATTATGTAAATATGTATATATATATATATATATATATATATATATATATATATATATATATATATATATATATATATATGCACACATAATAAAAGACCTTTTTCAAAATTCAAAATAGTTTTTCAAAATTCAAAATAGTTTTTATTCTGCTCTAAATAATTTTTGTTTAAGAAATAATCTTAAATTCAAATATAATCTTAAATTCAAATATTTTTTAATATAAAAAATTTTATTGGGTTAAATTTATTTTTCTTACATTTTATTGAGAAAACATATTAAATGATTAACTGTAATTTACATTATTTTGAATTGAATTTTAAATTAAATAAGCAAGCATTTAATGTAGACTATACATAAATAATAAGTAGAAGCATTTTTATATTGAAAAAATTTGTTTTCGGGTGGGTCCGGATGGCATTATAATCTATATTGGATTGAAAAAAGAAAAGTCGTATTTCTGCTTCATAGTTAAGGTTTAATTTTAGGTGCAATAAAATTTGTCTCTAAAAAAAATTTCTTACATTAATATTTGAATATTAATGTAAGAAATTATGAATTAGATAAATAATATATCATGAATGAATATTTTTGACATAAAATTCAACGAAAATGTTTCAAAACAGTTATCTGTACTAGTTTAGATATCAAAAATGAGTTAGAACTTTTGTAATGAGCATTCGTAAGCTTTTTAAAATCAAAAATGTTTAAATTTTTAAGTTGAGAATATTTACTAAATGCAGCTAACATGCATGAGATAAACTATTAACAATACTGCATTTTTTAAATGACTGTCATTGTTTTTCACTTTTATCAGAATCTTGTTTGCCTTATACATAAATAAAATTAGTTTCCCTTGCATAAATGTTACAACTTTACAAATTAAATCTACAAAGTTAAGATAAAAAAGATTTTTATTTTTTAAATCAACTATATATATATATATATATATATATATATATATATATATATATATATATATATATATATATATATATATATATATATATATATATATATATATATATATAGTTATTTTGATTGGTTATTTACCAAGTTATTTTCTAATAATTATATTAGTTCATTATATAAATTTTTGTCCGTTATTATTTCTCTGGAAAGACTTCTATTTTTTAATACTTATTTCAGAGTTTTATTATTGTAAAATAATCTTTTGAAAATGTAAATAAAATTTTACGAAACATGTCAAAAATAAAAAACATCGTATTATATATATATATATATATATATATATATATATATATATATATATATATATATATATATATATATATATATATATATATATATATGTATATATATATATATATATATGTATGTATATATATATATATATATATATATATATGTATGTATATATATATATATATATATATATGTATATATATATATATATATATATATGTATGTATATATATATACTCATATAGTGTCGCTTTAAGAGCATTTTAATGTAAAAAAAGTCTCTTACGACTACAATTTTAATTACCTCGTCTCTTAAGCTGTTTTTGATTGTCATCGAAATGTCAAAGCAATTAATTTATGCGGAAGTACATTAAATTTAATTGTTTTTTAAAAAATTTTTAAAAAACCGCAATTATAACGACTAGAAAGTTTTTTTTAATTAGTGGTGTTTTTGTTATTGATTTAATAAAAAACATTTTTTAAACATGCGTAAATGTTGCTACATCGACTATCTTATAGCCTGACTCGCAACGGAGTGCTGCTACATCGACTGACAAATAGCTTGACTCGCAACGGAGTGCTGCTACATCGACTGACAAATAGCCTGACTCGCAAGGGAATGCTGCTACATCGACTGACAAATAGCCTGACTCGCAAGAGAGTGCTGCTACATCGACTGAGGGTTTGGTTTGGCCAGGCAGTCTATCAATTAAAAAAAAAATTTAATTTTTAAAACTTTTTCTGGTCTGGTTTGTTAACGCGCTCTTTAAAACTACAGTTTATGGGAAATATTTTTTGATGCTACGCAAGAGACATGCAAGAGTATATATATATATATATATATATATATATATATATATATATATATATATATATATATATATATATATATATATATATATATATATATATATTAAGTACTATTATGACTATGTTTTTATTTTGCAGTTGCGTGTTGCTGAAATGGAAATGAACAAAGCAAAAAATTTAATTGAACATCATGATGAAATTATGAGTCGTCCAGCAAAAACGTTTATTAAAACTCAAAAACAATCTTCTGCTAGTAAGTAATTTTTTTTTTACTCACTGAATTTTTACTTTCAGTAATGTGCAATGACTAGAAAGTGTTCATTTTTAGTATAATATTAATCAGAAACAAGTTGTTAGTTTAAACAAAATTTACTGGATTATAACTACAATTATGTTCAAAAGAGTAATCATCATTATGTTTTCAAAGCAATTTTAAGCCAAATTCTGAAATTCAAAATTAAAGTAACATTAACATAATAAGTAACATTTAACATAACATGCAGTATCTAGCGGAAGTCATGAAATAATAAATAATTTTATTTGTTTTTGATATTTATACATACAATAATTTGTATAAGTATTTATACATATACAATATGCATATATTTTATGTATATATAATTTATTCATTTCTATAAAATTTACTAATTAATTTATGCTGGCATTAACATGTTACAACTTATAAAGTAGACAGGTTTTACAAGTAGCGGACACCCATTATGAAATAAATTTTTATAGATTTCAACTTTTTTCTCCGTGCAGCGACCTTGTTTGTCAAGGTTTGTGTTTTAGAGTTATAGATTTAAGAAAGGATTATAGCCACAATTAAGTAACCTCCTCGTCTGTAGTGGCCTTCTGGGCCTTGGGGAAGTGAATTAAAATAAAAATAAATAAATAAAAAGATGCCATTAAGGTAAAATTAATCTGAACAGCTTAGTTTTAAGTCATTTGTTCTTTATAAAAGGTTTTTCAAAGTTCAATTTTTCAACATTTTGAAAATCCATTGATAGCGAATTAAAAAGCAAATGGTTTTTTAGTTTTTTTATCCTTTATCTAAAACTGTAAAATGTTTTAAGAATGAGGGGGTCTACACTATATGCATCTGACTTTTGAGTGCCAAATTATATTTTGCTATAATATTAAATCTAGTTATAAATTATGATCCTATTTAAGATAAAGCATTTATTTTTTACTTTTTATTTTCAAAAGTTAGTTTTTTTCAACCAGGGGGTTACTGGTAGTGTTTTTGAGAAGTATTTTTGTTTCTGTGCTCCAATAGCCATGATTTTTTTAAATAAAATATCTTAAAATACCTTAAAAGTAAGACTGAAAAATGTTTGTCTAAAATAATTATAGGTAATCAAATCATTGTTTTTTAAGCTTAAATTATATCTTAAATCATAATATTAATAATATGATAATTTTAATTCGTTTTATTAGCAAAAAGTTTGACAAAATGTTGACATGCTTGACAAAAAACTATTTGGAACTCAAAAAAATGAAATATGCAAAACATTCATAAATAAAACAATTTTTAAAATGCCATTGATAACATTAAATTACATTAAATTAAAAATATTTATATTTAATATTAAAATATGTTTAACATATTGTATTTTTTCAATCTAAATATATCTTTGAAAACCTTTTTAAAACTCATTAAACTATATTCACTAAAAAATGCTGTATTTTATGTTAACAAAGAAACAATTTAATTTTAACAATTCAAAAGTTTTTCAGTTTTTTATTCTATATCTCAGGTTACTTGAAACAGCAGAGTTATTCTAAATTTTATGTTTCAGAAAAACACTAACTGTGTTCTGGCTTTTCTGGGCAGTACAGCTCTTATTTTCTCATCATAATGGGCGTTTTTCTCAAACACTACACATCTTTTTAGTTTCTTGTTTTTTTGGCACCCCTTTTGATGTTTTTCTGATATAAAATCAAGGATTTTTGAGTATTGACATTTGAAAAATCTAATACAGATATAATTTTGCTAATACATCATGCACATAGTTTCAAATAAATACATCATGCACATAGTTTCAAATAAATACATCATGCACATAGTTTCAAATAAATACATCATGCACATAGTTTCAAATAAATACATCATGCACATAGTTTCAAATAAATACACCATGCACACAGTTTCAAATAAATACATCATGCACATAGTTTCAAATAAATACATCATGCACATAGTTTCAAATAAATACATCATGCACATAGTTTCAAATAAAGCGTGAACCCTACAAACTCATCTATTTTCTCTTTGTAGGATTTATCAAGTTTCATCCCAAAACAGCAGTTAAATCATACAAGTAATTCTAAATTTGATGAAAGTTCATTCATTTAAAATAAATTAGTTTTAATGCTCTCCTAGACTAGTAATGTGGCTAAACTCTTTAAAATAATTAGTATGGCCAAACTCTCTAAAATATGGCTAAACTCTCTAAAATAACTTAATTAGCTATAACCTTTACACTTTATAGATAAAAAACTATGCCTTAAATTAAAAGCATTAATTTATTTTTATAAAAGTAGATTGGGTCCATAATATATTAATGCAAAATAACATTAATAGCAATGACATATTTGTATTTCTTAAGATTATGTAGATAATGGCTCAATCAATTCCTACCCATTCAAATAAAATGTAACAAATCTTTTTCAAAAAGATTTCAAAACTTTTGGGTTGTCGCAATTAGGTCTATCAAAATCATTATAGCTAATAACAATTTTCTTTTGAAATACCTTTTTCAGATTTCTATCAGTGAGGAGGAAATTAACTGTTGTTAATTTCCTCCTCACTGATAGAAATCTGAAAATTTCCTGTTTATGAGGTTTGTCATCAAATTTCATCTAAATATCTTTCCAAATTTATTGCTTCACTTTTTTTGAAAACTCTCCAGATTGTGATTGATTAAATATTCTCCAGGTTGTGATTTAATTGAATAAAGTTAACTGAAATCATACTTTAAAAATTTTTCTTTTCAGCTGTGTAAGTTGAACATCATTGATATCAGAAAATGATTTCAAAAAAAAAAATTATTTTTTAATCATATATATTATATGTACATTTTAACAGTAAAAAAAATTTAAATGTAGTTCATATCACCATTATTATTAATGTTCTCTTTCTTTCAAGTCACTACTACTTTACGTCAACAGAGATTTCCAAAATTCTATGTAAGGAGTTATAAGAAATTAAAAACTTATTTAAAAGAAATTATACTTAAAATATTTAACATCACTTCTTAATATTTATCTCCCCAAGGCTGAGGGAACCATTACAGTTGAAGAAACTATTTAATTTTTTTATTTTGTTTATCCCAGATAAAGTTTTCTTGTATTTTCATTTCATAAAATACTTGGAATTTTAAGTTTTTTAAAAATATCTCTATGAAGAACCAATAGAAATTTTTCAAATTTTTTTAAAAAGATATTGGAAGGTTAAAACAGAAATACTTTGAATTCAATTGATTGGTTATAAAAATTTATATTTAGCGAAGATAAACAAAACAAAGCTATTCAATAAATAAGGCAAATGTTAGTGCATTTCTCAGTATCGTTCATTTACATCCACTAATTCATCACAAGCCTGTTCACTTGTACTAACCTAAAAATTATCAGATTAAAAACTTAAATATCAACAGATATTCAAGTTGAATATCAACAGATATAAAGCCATGCTTTAGTATTATGTTGAAAAATATAAATACAGTAAAAAATTTCTTATATAAAAAAATCTTTGTAAACTTTTTTCCAAAACAATTTTAGTTTTAACAAAATATCTCAACAATGAAGCCAAACTAACATGCTGTTTTTTTGTGCTTTTCCAACTCTTTCTTGTTTTATCTATATCCTTGTTGAATCACATAAAAAATAAAGACAACATATTTTGTACATTAGTTTTCAAAAAACGAAGATTTATTTATTTACAAATGTTTATATAGGATACGTATTTGAATATCGTTTTTATAAGTATTTGAATACTCAGTATTTGAATATCGTTTTCCATTAACGTCCTGTTAAAAAAAAAAAATTCATTAAACAACTGGCGATTTTGCAGCTAAAACCAGTATATAATTACATTTTCCTTGTGTTCTTTAGATCTTGCTTGTCATTTTCTTGTTTCTTTTTTATATGCAATGTTCAAGATCATTTTAAAAAATTGAATTTATGCATGGAGACTGAAAAAACCATATTTAAATTCTTTGTATAAGTATTCTGTGTATAATCTGCATTAAGGATATTTAGGCTATTCATATTTTTTTGGAGAGACTGACCACACACTGAACAACATTAAGATAAGTTAGATGTTCCAGATTATATCATTTGAGCCTTTCCATTAATCATTGTAAGTTCAATAATACAATTCACTCTAATAGGAAATCCGCAAATGTCTAATAAAATCATACCCAAGCTTTCTATCTCACTTATGTTTTAAGAAGATCTGTCTTCTTTGAGCACAGATTGAGAACAATTACCATAAATATGTGGTTGCTAAGCCATACAAAGTAAGGTATACACAGCAACCAAATAAAAATAGTGTGGTTATAAGAAGTGTAAATCTTATTTTAATACACACACCCATTGTCAACAGTGCAAATAAAAAAATGGTAAAATAACTTTTTTGTAAAAACAAGTTGTTGCTATGCAAATTGAGGTAACATAATAATCAAATTAAAACATATATAAATATTAGAATTTAAAGGGATGAGCAATCAATGGAAACTCGATTTAAGCATGACTGCAACCAAAATAAATATAAGACAGCACATATCAATCATTAGTTATAGTGCAGCAACAATATATTTTCTTTGAGATTTTTTTTTTACCTCTGATCTTTAAAGCATTGCTAGAATAACATGCTATGACAAAGTTATGCGATAAAATGCTTTTCTTTTCTTATCTCTGAATATTTTGAAATAAATGTTCCCCAGTTTGCCAACTAAAAATAAATACTCCAAGTCTCTTTTTGCCAACTGAATTTTTATTAACAAGGCTTCAATCAAACTGCACTAAGTTGGAAGTTAGAAATTAAAAGATAGAAAAAAAGAATTAAATATAGAGAGGTAAATATAGAAATTATATTATATAAAAAATAGAAAAAAAGAATAAAAAGAGGTAAAAAGCAAGGAAATGGTGACAAAATACTTTAAAAGTTGTAGGTTGTATGAATCAGAAAAACATGAAGATCGGAGAGAGTTCCAAAAGGTCAAGGTGGTGGGAAAAAAAAAACTAGACAAATAAAAGTTTTTAGAGCATTCAAGGACAATTTTGATTCATGGAACTCGAGATGATAGCTCCTTTGAGCAGCAGCCATGATAGTATTTGTAGAAACAGGAAAGAGATGCAACTTTAGGACAATACATAATGTGTTTTTGGACCTTTTCTAGAAGAGCAAGAGCATCATTAGAAGAGCCAGCCCATATATGACAACAGTATTCCATACAGGGAGAAATGAGAGACTTGTCGAGAAAATGGTGAGCACAATAAAAAGAAGCAACCTTAACAGATGCTAATTAACTAATTCATTTCTATATGGTTTCCATGAGAGATCATTAAATTGAGTTTAATTATTAAACTCAGTTTAATGACAATAAACATTAACATTGCTGAGAGCAAAAATGAGTCAAGAAGATCTGGCATTCATTGTCCTAGGCAGGAAACAATGTAAGACAGGTTTATGCCAGTCTAATAGATAAAGAAGGGGTTCGAGGTTCAAAATATTATTCTGTTTACCCCTGAAGTCTTTGCCTACAAGACAATAGCTGGATGCAATTATTATTTGCCCAAGATAAGTATTTTTATTGAGACACCATGAGCCTCAAGGCAGGGGAATTTTAGCTGGATGCAGTCAACATCTATCTAAGATAAGTATTTTTACAAAGACACTATCTCTAGCCTTTACTTAAAAGAGCCCAGGGGATTTTAACATCAGAATTTTTTTCTCCTAATCTTTGCTTAAAAAAAAAAGCAAACCCTACAAGGCAGCAGTATAGGGCAGCTAGTACATGGTTATATGATACTAGTAGCAGGGTGATCATGATGATCCTGAACCTGACCTGGATTAGTTTAAAGAAGTTACTAAGCAATACTTTAAAACATTAATGGAACTATTTTGGAAATGCATTAGGAAAAATATTACATCTAACAGAATACTATAGATTAAGGTAAATGTAGGTTTTATAGTTAGAGTTACTAATTGATTACTGAGCTCACAATGCATCCAAGACTTAAACAGAACACAAACGTATATATAGTAACTTATGTGTGTACTAACACCACACCAGAAGTTCAGATAAAACACAAACATACATAAAGTAACTTTTGGGGTATAAACACCGAGCCAGAGGCTTAGACAGAACACAATCATACATATAGTAACTTACTGGTAAGTGAACACCACGCCAGAGGTTTAGGAATCAATAAAAAGGTCCCAATTTGCCTAATTGTATAAAAGTTCATTGATGGGAGTGGAGGGCCAGTGGTTAAATATAATACTTAATGGTTGTATTAAAGGGGAGGGTGTCAAACACCCCCTTCGCACTGAGTTTATGTATCATCAACTATTTATTTACCAACACACACATTGTTCATAGACTGAAAGTTTTTGTTTAGACAGGTTGTTTTCTCGATTTTCTCCCTCCAAATAAATATATTTTTGTAAAATCTAAAATGAAACAACTTAACAAATTAAACTTCTTTTTACTTACTGTAAAGAAATTAAAAATTATAAAGTTGTTAAATTATTTTTAATATAAATCCTATATTACTATTTATTATTTTAAAAATATGTGCTCCTTATTTTTTGCAAGTAGCAGTATATTTTAGATATTTAACTTTGTCATTCTTCTTGACATTCACTCTGTAGGCACGTGTGTTATATTTGTTATATAATATGCAAAATGTTTATTTATAATTTCTATTTTTAATTTAATTTTGTATTCTATTATGTGTTTATAAATTGTTATTTAGAAAATAAAAAAGAAAGTCAAAAGAAAGTAAAGGTAAAATTTCAGTATAGGGATCGAACCCACAGCATTCGCGTTATTAGCATGACACTCTCCATTTCAAAATCAATCAAAAAAATCCAGCCTCGATTTCTCTACATTGTTTCATGTTGAATTTTTTTTTTTTTTTTTAAGTATCAAAATTTGTTTTATTGAAATATCTTTATAATTTTATAGAATTTGACCGAAGAAGAAAAAAAGATTCGCCGCGAGCAAATGTTTCATGCTCGTCAGATTAAGCGAAATAATAAACCTAAACGAATTCGAGCTTTTGATGAAAATGCTCCAGATGTCAAGGGTTCTCGTGGTGAATTTTTTATCTCTATTATCTTTTAAACTATTTTAATATTTAAATGAATTAATTGATATAAATTATTTTCTCTTAAGGTCCTAAACACGCCAAAATTGTACCCTCCCAAAAGACATTTGATCGCGAGCTTACTGACACAAGTAAAAAGAGTTTGCAAGCATTGCGATCGAATACAAATTTTAAAAAAAAAACCTCTTCTGGATTTAAATCCAAAAAAAGGTGAGCAAATACTTTGTTTTGTTATTATTTATCAGTATTAGTCTTTGACTCTTTTATGATTTGAAATTTTTTTAAATGCCGCCTTCTCGCAATAATCTTTATTCAATCATCAGTATCATCGGTATAAACTTGTACCACATTGACTCGTGTCCATTATTTGTATTAATGGTCACAGGTCTATATATATATATATATAACATATATATAAATATATATATATATATATATATATATATATATTATATATATATATATATATATATATATATATATATATATATATATATATATATATATAAATATATATAACATATATATTAGGGGTAGTCAATTTGTGGAAATTTTTGATTCTAAAATACTATACACTCTAAATTTATGGCAAATGTTAAAAAAACAACTCCCAAAAAATTTGAGCTCAACAGGTCCACTCCATCCTTACCTCTTAAGCACTTTTTTTTGGCTTTATTACTTAAAAAATTATGTTTTTCAACAAAAAATGCATTTTTTATATTTTTTAATAATAATATTGATAAATAAGTTAATATTTTTTTCAAAATGAATATAATTTTTGAAATTTTTATATAATTTTGCTTCATTTGAGTACCAGGTTGACATATTTTTGAAAAACTTTTTTTTTGAAAATATTAGGAACCCATTAAAAATTCAAGGGTCTTGAGGGACCCCTTAAAATATTTTTTATTCAAAAAATTTAAAACCTAGTGTTTTTGAATAAGATAAAACACAATAGGGGGTAGAAGCTGGTTTTTCTCAAAAAGGTTGTTTTAAGGGTCACCCTAATATCTATTTTTGATTTGTTTTTAGTATTGTACCAAGTTGAAATCGGCATTTTAAAAGTTAGAATTAATTTTGCAAGGTTTGCTTTCTCCTCAAATGACAAATCATCATCCAACAAAGAGAAATCATTGTTGAATCTAAATACCAACTATGTTTGTACAGACAGTTTAAAACTGCGTTGACAGCATCTGGTTTGGCACAAAGTTTTTGGTACTGTTGCATTTGGTGTATTGCTTTTATATCAAAAAAGAAAGCTCTAATAGCGTCATTAGCCTGTAAATACCATATGGCATAAAAGCAAACTGTAAATTCACTTATTAGCCTGATTTCTGTCTTGAGTTTATTGTTCTGATTTACGAACTCAATTTGGCTCTTGATTGAGTTAGAATTGCACCTGTAACTTTATGCAAAACACTTGGAGAAATGTCACTGATTGTAGTCATAAGAGCTACATTACCAGCAACAACATCAATAGGAATTTTTAGCAGTGACTTTTTGTTGAAAAGGTTTTCTTTCAAACCACTATCCAGGATTAAAATCAGAATCATGCGAGGAGTCCTCACTAGTATCCGTATCAATCTTAACATTAGCTTTCCTCTCTAATTATATTGTTGTTTCACACAATGCTCACTCTTTCTGCTACTCACTGTTGCCTAAAAATATCAAAAAAATTTAATAGTTAATAATTTAATTTAGTTATATGAGAAATTAAAATAGTGAGTGAACATTTTTATTTTTGTTTAGTTGTTTTTATTTTAAATCTTTTAAAATAGCAAATTGTAAGTAATTTGCTAAGAAAACCTTGCATATCCTTAAACTTGTCAGAATCAGATTATTTTTTTTGTCATTTTTAATTGTATTTCTAAGATCAGGAATGCCAGCCCAAAACATTTCATTCAGGTAAACTTTAAATTCTTGTTGCTGTGCCAAATCTGCTGCAGATCCTCTTTTTTCATGCTTAAGTTTTGAATATACATTGTCTAGATTTGAAAGTTTTTTTACTAGACTTTGATCGTTTAGTATAGAAAACCCAGCTTTTATCTTTGCCAAAATATATCACACTTACTTTCTATTGCACATCTTTGAATTTTTTTTTTAAGGAAGACAAGCAAGAATATTGGCTTTTTTTGATGTTCTAGACAAAAATGATTGTTTGTAAGCTAAGTGCTGCAGTATCTCCGTCCCCGTTGGAAGCTGACACCCTTAATTACAAAAAAGAAGAAATAAAAAGTTGAGTTTTTAGCTCAAGGGATTCATTATAAAACTAATTATTACCTTTTATTGCTGGTTTTGCTTCTTCGATAATGAATAGTTTTTTTTTAGACCTTAGTGTTCTTTCACTTTCTGTTTTCTGACCACGTTCTTCTTCATATATATATATATATATATATATATATATATATATATATATATATATATATATATATATATATATATATATATATATATATATATATATATATATATATATGCAGAGTTGTTAATCTTTGGCCTGGCCTTAAGCCCAAAAATTGAGGCCTCGGAAATTTTGGCCTTGGCCTAAAAAATAATTAAATATTTTTTTATTGATTTTGTTGAATTCTGCACATAACCTTGGTCTATTTTTACAAAATGTGCTTTTATTTTCACAGCACTTGCTACTTACAGTTTTGTGAAGAATTGGCCTTAACGTAAGGCAAATATTGAAGTCTTTTGTGAAAAACTTTGCGTACGTCTTGGCCTTGAAATTCCTAATCTTGGCCTTGACCTTCGCCTTGTAACTTTAGGCCTTGTTAACAACTCTGTATATATGTTTATATCTTTTTGTATTCAAATCACTTTATAGGTATCATATGCTCCTTTTCCACTTGGCCTTTTAGTTGTAAACTACTATTTCATTAACATATTTTTTTTTTTACCTTAGATTTAAAAGAAAATAAATGTCTGCAAAAATAAACTGATGCAGAAAAGTGAAAATGACTTTAATAAACACAAGTTTATGTTAGATGTTTTTATGAAATATCTTCGCAAAGACGCTGAAAGAAGAGACGTTTTAAAGTGCTTGTATCGAAAACAAAACTAAAGGATTATAGAACTATCTTACCTAACTGAATATATATATAAAATAATAATAAAAAAATAATTTTTTTATTTTTTTCATTTGGTTAAAGGCTTCCCATCATTATTACTTCTATTATTATTATTATAATTATTATTATTATTATTATTATTATTATTATTATTATTGGCTATATAATTATGCGGAATTAAAAATAATTGACGGCAAGGTACTTTATAACAAAGCAGTTTTTTATGTGAATTGAGTATCATTACAACTTTATTGACGACCTAAAGGTAATAAAAAGTATTATTGAAGCCCATACGTAAAAATGGAGGGGGATATGTCTTAACATAAACAACATGTTTGTTCGCTTTTACAGAAAAAAACATGTTTTAGAAAAAATTAAATTTTGTATTTCTTTTTGTAAAAATTGCCTAGCATGTGAATTTAAATGTATTTCCTATGTATCAATAATATTTTCAAAGTAAAACACAGCTTTTTTGAAATTTATTTTAAAATCTCTACTAACAGTTACATTCCTAATTGTATCATCTTTCACGAACATGGGCGAATCAATTTGAATATTGTTTTCTTTGCATTCTTGTGATGCTACTAACATTAAACTCTGGGCAGCTTTTACATAAGCCACTTGCAAATGAGCTGTAATATTATTGTACGAACTTAAATTCACAAGTGGTGCCATGTTTATAACGCTAAAAAACGTTTTCATACTGGTAAGACCTTTGCTAATTTCTTGAAATGCAACTGTTGCTCTAATGTTATCATCAAAGGTTTTTCTCCTCTGTCTATACATAATATCATCCTCATTTCGATCTTTTATGTTTTTGGAGATAAAATACTCTTTTGTCCATTCACATTTAGGGCAACGAATAAAAATCATATGAGCAAAACCTTTCTTTGTAGAAATGTCAAAAATGCTTAGCTTGTAGTTTTTTGCATGGATAACATGGTCAAGTCCGAATAAAATGGATAATTTCTTTAAGTATAACAGTATTCATAAAAATATAGCATTCAGAGTCATTTGTAATTGTACCATGCTTGTTGGAGTGTCTAATTTTTTTTAATTTTTTTTTTTTTTTTTGCAGAAGCTGATTTGTTTTGAAAAGTGAATGTTGTTGCTTCATCTTTACCTGTATCTTGGCTTTTATTAAGAGTTTATACTGCTTTTATGCTAAATCTGCTTTTTTTGCTCTAGACTTCTTCTATCAGATGATCCAATATTAAAGTTGTAATATAAACACAGTGCTTAGAAAAATCCACATAAAAAATCACTAATCATTAATATGCCTCAATAACATGCCGTTCAATTTCAGGTTTGAAGTTGTGGATTTTAACTAAAAACAAAGTGGATTTCAAAAAAAACTAATGTCTTTTTTCAATTCTTTGGTGCTTAAAATATCTAAAAAATATGTTTGTGAAAAATCGAAAAAAAAAAGATTTTTTGAAGATGTACCACCTTAATCACATTGCACAGCAACATCCCCTAACAGTATTTATGTTTGTGCACGTGGATAAAGGTTGTTTATATTAGGCGGACTAGTCCGGTTGGTTGGGCTGGCTCGCTTAAACAAGATCTCAGCATGTTTAGTATTTATCTATAAAAATATCTATAAAAACCTTGTATATATGAGAAACGAGCTAGCCCGCATAACTGAGATCTCGTCTAATTTTGGAGGGACGATTTTTCCCATACAAACACGAAATATTTGAGCCAGCTCGGCCTATGAACGTAGCTGGTTAGATTAAATAAATCACGCTAATTCTTTTATCCAATCAGCGATAGTATTTCATTCATTAAAGATAAATCTGTTGATGAGTTAGAAACATCAAAAAGCTCTAATCTAAATTTTATCATCAAAACGAAATAAAGCGAAGTAAATTTAATTTAATATTTAATTTAGTTTTAATATAAATTTTATTTATTTTAATTACTTTTTATGGTAGAAATAAAATGTTGAATAGTTAAATTTTTACAAAAGTAAAGTCTGGAATTATTATGTAAAAAACAATGGTTCTACTCTAACTACGAGTAAATATAAAGGTCATCAACAAACGAAATTTGCAACAAAGAGATAAAATATAATAAAAATGTCAGCTCAATGTATCGTATTATATTAAAGAGTCTAAATTTCCAAGTACATCAACTTGGGATTATCTATCAAAGCATTCGCAAACTCATAATTGTAGAAATATAGAGATTTAGAGGAATCTTTGTAACTTTGATCTTCAAACAGGTACCGCAGTATTGATATTAATGAGCATTTTATCAAAATGCTAACTTCGTTTGATAACATATACAAATTGCTGACTAGACAAAAAAACTTCGTGTGAAATGGGGCCGTCTGTATTACAAAGTACCATATATTCACGGCGTTAATTTTTAGCCATAAATCTTTCAATGCAAATTGTTTGCACGACTATTAAAACTAAATGTCGTTTAGACTGGAATATTTTTACGTTTGGTTCCGTCTATACTAAAATATGCAGTTAAGTAACCAAGGTTCATGACTTAATTGGTCAAAGGTTGAATGTTTTAATGTGTTAATATGTTGGAATATAAGTTATATTTTTTGTTCATGGAAGAATATATACATTTTTACACATTTTTCATATTATTTAAACCATGATACAAAAAGATGCTTGATAACCCAGTAAGCACAAAACCTTTTTAAAACGTTTAAAAAACCTATTAAAACGGTTTTTAACGTTTTTTAAACGTTTTAAAAACGATCTGTGCTTACTGGGAAATCACTGTTACCTCTTCTATACACATAAAGTTTTACATTTAAAATTGATACTTGCATTATCATCTTTCTTTTTAGCTAGAGATTTTGAAAGATAATATATATATTAGGGCAGGTCACAGTTCCATTAAGTTTTTATTAAATTTTTATTAAATTTGAAATTACGACATTTAATACATAAAAAATTCCTAATAAATAGTACATTTAGTGATTAAAAAATATATAAGAGAATATAGAAGATTACTTCAAAAAGAGTATAATACTCTGAAACTATGTCTCGTCTATGGGGTATGCAAATTTGTAAAGATTGTGGGAGGAGGGAAATGGTCAATAGATTGGATGTGGGAATGGAGGCTGTTTTTAATTCAAGTTTTTGCATTCAATTTTTTTCATAAGCGAACTTTAACTTTCTGTTCACTCGAAAAAACAGGAGTACAAGTGTTTCTACTAAATAATGTTTACAGTGACAATTCCACGAGTTTTTGGTGGTGGTGAGATTCGATATTTTTTGAAAGACGTGAAATTTTCAAAATTTTTGTTTTTGGCCAACCCTAATGTATATCTTGAAATATCGTACTTTTTCTAGAAAAAAATTGACATTTTCGATTTTCAAAAAGTCTTTAAAACTAAAATATTGAATTACCTTTAATCTCTGACAAAATATGAACTTAACGCACTAAGAATCATTTCCGGAATTTTTTTACAAATGCAGTAAAAGATAAGTATGAGTTTATCTCTTTTGTTTCTTTTTGACTAATTTTCAGAAAATTGGCAGCTATTAAAAAAAAAAAATTCTATTCCGGGACACCCCTAGTGTCAATTTTAATTTTTAGATCAACAACTGCTTTGGTTTTGAAACGAAAGGTTGGAATCATGACAGTTTCAAACAGTTTAACAAATTTTATAAAAGACAGGGCTTAGTTTAGTCGAGATCATCTATATTTCAAGTTAGGGAAGCAGGGTTCTCCATGCTTGTTTTGTAATTAGTTTTAGAGCTGAAATCCGAGCTGACCGCCAGGTGTTCAAAAGCTGGTGTAGCGAGGTTCTTGTGGAACCTTTCTCCTGGCTAGTTTAGAACTTTAAAGTTCTAAATGTTGCCGAAAAAATTTCTGATCTCTTCGTGTGATTATTTTTTATTTATTTTTCGCGAAAGTAGCTGAACTTACTTTATAATGAATGGTCTATAATATAGGTCCTTCATTATAAAGTATGTTCTTATATACGCTATATAGATACAAGAAACATTGTATACTATACAACGAAATATTAAATTTTTTAATTTTTTGTTGTTTTCAATGTGTAAAATTTTTATAGATTTAAATTTTTTAAATTGTCTATAAAGTATAGACAATTGAAAAAAAAAATTTTACACATTGAAAAAAATAAAAAATTTAAAAATTTAATATTTCGTTGTATTTCTATAACTTTTAATATTTCCTACGTTTTTTGGATTACGTCTTCCAAGATAAGTTTCAAAAATTAGCGGTTGTATCTTATAATAAACATCAATATATTTGTAATGATGCAGTTTTCTTAAGGATTTTGGAAAATTACGCCAACGTAATTTTAAAGTTAATAATATAATATTTGGTGGTTTTGAATTTTATATAAAAAAAGGGATGATTTCATTAGTGTCACTGGGAAACGTTTAATAATTCCCCACAACCCTATTATATTGGCGACTTTAAAAAGTCCTCGTTTACTGACATTTGTTCACTAGCGCCTAAAGGTCTAGGCTTTTTGGAATGATGTTTAATCATTGTTTTCTTTTTTTGTGTGTGTTTTTTTTATGTTTCTTCTTTAGTCTTTACTAGGGGATTCAAAAAAAGAAAACTTACATTATAAAAAGTTGTGTATTTAGTAAATTTAATACGATAAATTTTTAATTTATCAGAATTGATTTGTCGGCCGGTTAGCTCAGTTGGTTAGAGCGTCGTGCTAATAACGCGAATGTCGTGGGTTCGATCCCCATACTGGCCAATCTGGAACTTTTTAGAATTAATTTACTGAAACAGTTCATAAGTAACTCATTTAACAATTTGCTGCAGCATTTTAACAATAGCAAGCATAGGAGCTTTTTAACTACTTTTTTATGATATATTGAAAGGAATTTCCACATAAAAAAATTTATGAGGAAAAAAACTAGACGAAAAAAAAATTTTTGGAGCACTTAGCTAAGTTCTCTAAAAATCTGATAAGGATGCATATCTTTATCGTGCTCGCCACTTTCTTACTGTGACTGTTCCTAACTAGGATCAAGGCCGGCGCGTTAGGGGGTACGGGGGGTGACACCCCCCTTTCCCCCATCAATGATTT